ATCATAAAGCCTGCCATTTGAAATAATAATAATAATGTTTAGAGGACCCGATTTCTACTAATTACACACTCGCTGCAAATCAATTAACACAAAGTTGAGTTTGGGTTCATGGGCACTGACCCACTCAAAATCTTATCAGCTCTTTTTAATGTATCAGAGTGTTCTACTTCATTAAATAATTTCGAAATTGCATCGATATCTAAAATATCTGATAAAGGCGTCAAACTCCCCCTTCAATCATCTTTAATCAATAATATGCGTTTATTCATATAGATTTTCTTAGTCTTTTGAGGTGTTTTCAGACCATTTCTCAGAATATTTGAATTCACCTTCACCAAGGTTATCAAATTGCAGTCATGTGATAAACTGAAAGTAAAGAAGTAAGCTGTATTAAATTGAATGAGGTGATGTCTGAAGAAATGCTTACATACAAGCTAAACTATTAAATTAAATTGCATATAATTCTGCATAGCCATAACGAGATCATGGGGCATAAAAATTTGTTGATCGGTAAAAGCTGATGCAATGTTGCAGTAAATGCACTTTCAAGGGAAATTAACACAGGACAGTCGAAATCTGGTCGACTTACTCTTCACACCTAAGCAAGATTTTGAGTTCTTTTGACTGCATTCATCAGTTGGGCAAGAAATGATACCAAATCGTTCGATTTTCTCAAATATCAGGTATTTTGTACCCTGTGCTTTTAAATTTTCAATAACCCTATGAGCGTGCTATTACGTAGCATCCCATTTACAAATTTTAACATTCCTAATTTTCTGGGACAACCTCAAGCTCTCCTACCGATTTATCCTGGTTCCTTAAATTTTTTACTTATACCTAAAGTATTAAACCATGTCAGGGACCTCCACTTATATGTTGTTAAGTTCTAGCTTCCAACACAACTATCTCCATTTCCGTAATTTCCAGATATCCACTTAGGAATCGACTTTTTTACCTCGAGGTATATATATATATATATATATATATATATATATATATATATATATATATATATATATAACAAATGGCAGGCGTTTTGATAGTTATCCTTAGCCCACTAGTTGACTTCGGGCTTCACAGAGGGGAGGAGGAATATAATAGTGAGAAGAATTCAGGAGGGTGAATAAAAGAGTGATCACAGATGTAAAAGAAACAGACATACACAAAGGCTCAGAAAGGATAAGATAAGCACTGTTATAGGGGACGAATATGACATGCAGTTGGGGGGTGATGATTGTTTGAAGTGAGACGTCAACTGCCGGTTAATAGACTTTTTTGCCGTATGACTATACGTTGCCCAGGGTGCACCACGTGGAGGTAGGTCTGTCCCACACCCCATATATATATTTCCTAAGCCTAAACGCAAATAACCGCGAATTCTTAACTATTTAACGCCACTTTATCAATGCATTCATTAGTACCCAGTGAACACTCCATTTGTGTTTACACTGTAAACTTCGTTTTACTGATAAACAATCCTGGATGGTGGCGGACTCACCCATTCCTAGACATTCTAGTAGATGGATTCAGACCGACTTTCGCGCAGCGCTTTGGAAATGCCTTATGTCAAGTTTCCATCCTTGCCACTCAATTATTTCAGGCCCAAACAACCCCCCCCCCTCCATTTTTACCCACATCCAGGTTTCACTACTTCCATATCAACGCTAGATTATGATACTTTTAACAATTTTGGAAATTATTTATTGAATAAACTTCTGGATATAGAATTTCAATTACAATACTTTAACGTATATTCATTAGCAGAAAAAAGACATATAGAGCCGCTGCCAAAAATATGGTCACGGATCATAGATCACAAATTCACAGAAATAAAGAGAGACCATTTGTGATCTAAGGGCAATTGCGTGGTGACTATTAATATCATTAGAAAGTGATCAATTTGCAATTTTTAAAGTTATAGATAACTTGACATTTGTTATTCTATCTAAAGGTGCATTTAGTTCAAACTGGATTCTGTTAAGTAGTTGAACTATCTCATAAAACACAATACCGGCGAAATAATGGCAATATACCCTATAGAAAATATGGAAAACAATTTCTCTAATTCAGAGAAGTCCATTTACTTACCATGCCATTGGGGCAAAAGGTTGTAGATCTTACAAAAATATAACCTATCACATGTTCATTAATTACCAGCTTGCAAGTCGGTGAAGAGTCAATTGACTCATCTTTCAGTTGATTTCTAACCTAGGTAGACTTCTTTACAATCCAAACACCTGAAGCCAAAACGGTCGTTTGAATCAGCCATTTATGGACCCTACTTTCAAAATTTTAATGTGGAGTTCAATGATGTGATAAATCATACCAGTCGTGTGAAGCATTAAGATAACCGACAAAATATGCAATAGGCAGAAAAATTGTGCCAATTCATCCAATCACGACTCAATGAGCTTTACCTCAAAGTCTATACCCAAAGTTGGGCTTTAATTCTTTGCACACCTAATCACTTAATATAGCGAGTGCAGTAGGCAGACTTTTATGCCACATCATTACTTCTACAACTGGTCATGGAACAAACATGCTAGAAGGCCGACTAAATGCATCTTCATGTACGACCATTTTCATACACATTCTGATATTGGTCGCCTGAAAGCTCGTATTTAACATTAAAGGTGCCAGTACGAACAACTGGACCATCAAATGTCAGGAAACGAAGTCCTGAAACTGTGCCATAACTTCACATTCAAAGTGCCAAGTCAACCACCTACCCATGCAAGACCATTTTTTGATCTGATGTTTTCTTCACTACAGTTACTATCCCATAGCCAATAAATCAGCTACGGACCTACCTATGGGCTAATGATAGGCCGTTACTACACTAGTCGTCCAATTACACAACTTGAATGGCAAACTTCGACTAGTTATTGCATTATACCCACAAATGACGGCAAAAAATGCAAGGTTATACTAATAGAATGATGACAAAATACTTGATATAGAAGGATGCTGAAATAACAACAGTACTGTTATCAGCACCAAAACTATAACAATGGCACGTAGCGATACATAATAAGAACAAATAGGGGAGGGGCGGGTAGGAGGAGAGAATGGGAGAAGGGGAAAAGGGAGGGGTGGGGGGTGAGTTTAGGAAAGCCAAAGACCTGAGAGTCAACCTCAAACTTCCTTTCACTCACAAGTTCATCTATCGTTTTATATAAGATTATCATCAATATCAATAGAGAAGGAAGTAAAATGTCTAGCATTAAGCTGGTTAAATAGATAATGGGTAGATAGGTGGGAAAAAGAACAAAAGCCTTCTTTCAAACGGAGTAGCCTGAGATTGTTATTTTGGTGGTGGTAGTTGAGACAGCAATGATTTCAAAAAACATGGCACAAAGACAGACAGCAACACTATTTCACAAGAGAGGAAACATTTGGGAGGCGATGAGTGCAAAAATAAAATGCAAGGAAGAGGAGACCAAGTATAATCATGCCCGTTGGGGGCTCTTGTGATAGACAAAACATGACACGGGGAGAGGGAGCCCCTGAGACGCAAAAATCAAGTAGAAAACCGTAGATAGGAGCAGGGGACTCAGAACGCGATGAAAAAATATCCGCATAGGTACATAATGACACAGCAGAGAACGGCGCGAAGCGATGAAGGGCGAGACGAGTGATGAAGCATTTACAAGATTGGAGCGAAAGACTTTGGGAGTAGAGCCCATTCAGAAGTACTGTTTGTATTACTCTTGTGCGCTCTCAAAGAGTAGTAAAAGGGGAAAGGAGGAAGGAGCGAAGTTACAAACTAGGGGGGTAACGAGTGATCCTGAGAGGATGTGAGATCTCCAGTGTGGTGATCATAAAAGGGCTTCAACTAAAGTGATAAGGAACACAAACTAGAAGTAATTCCAATTCAATACACACCAGGAGAGATTAAATGCGAATACTTACGTTCTAATACATCATTAACAAGATCATCCGTCAGTTGGATATCTTCATTAACCCTATCTGCGTTGCTTTCAGCAATGCTCTTATCCCGGATATCGCCATTGGGAGTAGCCATTTCGTCCAAGGGGATATATTTCTTGGATGGTGACTGCTGATAGGGAATCTGCTGTTTTCGGAATTCTTCGAGTGATTGCGGCTGTGGCTCCTGTTGCTGGGTCATTACTAGTTGCTGATCGGAGTTGGTATACGGCATTAGATTTTCCAGTGGAGATCCAATTTCGTTATTTGAGGGTATATTCGGGGAACACTGAATTGTCTGTTGATATTGTGGCGGTGGTGGGGGTTGCGCGTAATAATATCCATTTCCTTCACCACCTCCTCTTCCACCAACTACCATTCCAGAGTTATTTAAGAGTTCAGAAGGACGTGATCGTCTCTGACCAGAAGTTGGCAAAATCTGCGAACGACCAACACCAGAAGACAAAGGAACTTCCATGCCTTGAGCTAGACAACGACTTGTAACTTTCTCCCTAAGGTTAGCCTTCACTTGACTAGAAGATAAGAAAACACGTTGAACAAAGTATTAATTTACATAATAGAAGAGGGTATTTTCACTCCAAGACTTACGAATTCGCAGGCAATGATTGATTCTGTTGGAGGGCCATTGAGAGAGGTGAAAGAGGAGTTGATGAATGCGAAGACTGAGACTGTGACATCATTTGGTGTTGATTTTGGCTCTGGTGTTGATAGGCAGCACATTGATGTCGATCATAGTAGCCCGCAGAGTAGTTGGCGGTAGACTGGTTCATGGGCTGTGGACGCGACGGTGGAATCTGCATTTGTGCATGAATCCTCTGAGGCGACTGTTGACACGCCATCTGCTGTTGGGGTTGCTGCAAATGACGAGTGGCTTGGGGCTGTTGATAATAAGCAGATTGTTGTTGTGGCTGCTGGTTACGGTACGGTTGGGGAATTTTTGGCTGAATTGGGGGCAAGTGAGTGGCGCTTGTGGCGGTGCAATAACCTGAACTGCTGCAGTACATCGGTTGGGAAGGCGGTGGACAGTAATGATGACTCTGCTGCGGTGATGGTGGGAGATTAGGTCCAGAGAGGGGATGATTAAGAACCATTGAACGATCCTGGTAATCGTAGTTAACTGGGGCCAGATGTCCTCCTGAATAATCATAATTTTGTGGCATGGGGGCCATCTGGAGACAAACAAATTGATTAACCACAGTGCACGTTGAGACCAAATTAAGCAATAAATATCTCGCTGACCATTTGTTGCTCTGGGAGATACATATTCTGATGATATCCGGTCGGCGCAACCCTAACATTCGGTGCGACTTCCTTTAACTGACGAGAGAAGTCTTCCAGTGGTGGCCTTTGATTAGACATCATCTGGGGGGCGTCATATTCACTGTAGACCATGGCATTGTTATTACCCAGCGATCCATAGTTGGAGTTCGGTTGAGATTGATGATGCTGTGGGGGCGGAGGATTCAGGGAGCAGGGCTGTTGTTGGCACGGGGTTCCCTCGAGCAGTGAATGGCCATCCTGCCCGTAAGTTGTGACCTGACTCACGTTCTGTTGGAATATGAGTCGCTTTAAAAATAGTGGTGAAGCAAGTTAGAAGCGGGGTATGGTTGCTGATGAACTTAAAAGAAGCACCATGCTGCACCCAAATGATGAGAGAGGAGGGGAAGGAAGGGGTGGATAAAAAAAGGAGATTTCATCAATTACCTGACGCTCATAGTAATGCTGTGAGCTGGGACGTTGGCGACGCTGATTTTCGGCCTCCTCTGCAATCTGGGCAGCTGCAGCCGCAGCGGCTCTTCGATTCTTCTCTAGAGTTGCAGCTAAAATAGCATTTAATTTAATGAACAAAAAAGCAGTAAAGTCTAATCTCGTGCAATCTCGCGCAATGTGTTTGAGACAATTTGTCGCTAGTGCCAAGACTGCGGCAATAAGCGTACCCTAGCTTTTACAATAATGCCAACAATCATGTCGCATAGTGTTTCAAACCCGAACAATATGAACTCTCAAGTTTAATTTTTCAATAATTTTAAACTAATGCAACATTCCCCCCCCCCATTATTACGCAAAATATACCCCCAATAAGGCAATTTGGGCAAAAAATAGACGAAACAGAGAGAGAGGCTCAAACGAGGAAATATGGTAAAAGACTCACTTTCATTTACAAAGACATGAGCCGAACCAAAGTGCTCAAAAAGAAGCCTGGGTCGAGCATTTGTAGGAACCATCAAGGCAGGAAATGATGATCATAAAAAATGCATAGAGGTGTAGATATAGATCCGCTCAACAAGTCAAATACAAATTAAATGGAATTGAATGAGCCCTGTTATTCATGAGCTTTCTCTAACTGATACACACGCGCGGTTGTATGATCAGCAAACAACGAATGAACTTTCACCTTCAAAATGGTGTGAGTAGCACACGAGAGAAAAAATGACAGGGCTTGTGAAAGGCAGCCTTGACCTCCAGTACAAAAATAATTTTGTCAAACTGTGAGCAGTCAGCCGTGCCATGACTGGTAGTGATGATAGCACCAAGGAATCTAGCCTTCACTTATACATAGTGAAAAAGTTTACCATATTAAGCTCTAATTGATGAGCCCCGAAATCATTCATATTCTAAGAACCACTTGAATACAATGAAGGAGAGTCACTTACGAGACATACTCCTATTTAGATCAATAGCATTGACAGCAGAAGGTGGAGCTGAAGAGCTAGAACTTTGAGGTCCATTGAACATTTCGGGAACAGAAGTTTGAGATGGATGAAGCTTAGAAGAAGAAGGGGTTTCCGCTAACCCCATATGGCGCTGTTGCGCCGGTACAGAGAGCGGTTTCCTGGAATTTGGTGGATACGAATCGTATCTAGCACGTCTCTCGTTATCACCGGCTATCAAAGCGTCAGAGGAGAGTTCAAAGAAAGAGGGAGGAGGAGGTGGAGGAGCAACTTGAGCAGCTTGAGCCGCAGCGTCCACTTCAGCCGTCAAGGAGTCCCAGGGATCAGCTCCTTGAAGCAATCGACAAAGAGAAGAGTTCGCGAGAGTCATATCCTCCTCCTCAGTTGACCGACGCGCCTCTGGCTTTCGTGGTAGAGAAGCTAAGCTCATTCCATCTGAAAATTCAATTCGGGACTGCTTTGGCGGTGATGGCCCATCTCCCTTTGGGGTTGAATGGCTGATTTTCTCGTCTAAAAATGGTAATTAATTGACAATAAATGCAAGCTTATTAAAAAATTAAGTAGGATAAAATGAGAGCAAATCTTTAACAAACAGAACTGAAACTTCAAGAGCTTTGCAAAACAGATGATTGAATTCAGCTTATATTCAAACACATTTAAGAAAAATAAACACTTAAATTGTTTTCTCAGAGGAAAAATTGCCCAAAATTATTTACGGACAATTAATTTTATTCTTGCTGTTAAGGATCAAAATGTCCAATCCCAAAGCCGAGAACACATCATACAAGAACTGTATGTGGCTTTTCTTTGATCAGAGCCAAGCGTTTCAGCAGTCGTATTGATTCAACGAGCTTTCATTTTCTGCAAAACTAATTGGCATTCCAAATATTATTAAATGATATTACTAATATTAAACAAGTAGGAGAAAATAATTTAACACGACTTACAGCTGCTGCCCTGTACGCCATCGGAGCCACGGCATTTGCTATCAGAGGGCACAATAACCGTGAGAGGGGTATCAAGAGGTTTGGGGACTCCAGCAGAGGCGGCCAATCGGTTGGCTCTGGCGGCACAAGCCGTAGGCAATCCAGGACTTGTTAAAGCTGATTCGGGAGGCCCAGTAGGAGGAGTTTGAATAGGTAAACTAGCTGGAGCAGCTGTACTGGAAGTACTAAAGGAAGACGATGGTGGATAACCGTGTCTCAGCAGATGAGCCAAAGATGAACAGGGATTCGATGGATTTGGACTCTAAAAAGGAAGGAGAATGTAAAGCTAACTTTATGATCTTATTAAACTGAGATATTTAGTCATGTGAACGTTATCTAACCAATATCGATTGAGCTGATGTATTTCCTGACGTATTTTTGGCTTCGTTAGATGAGCTATTTCCTTCTCCATTGTTCCATTCTTCACTCTCGAACGCAAAATTACTATCGCCACTTTTTGTTGGAGGACATGAGGCAGACGAGGGTCCGCTATTAGACATGAGTTGACGAGATTCGGGTCCACTTTTACTCGAAACAGCAGTCGCCTCGGAGACATTTCTTTGTCTAATTGAAGTAGCAGAGCTCGAGCCTCTTCGAAGGCGACTTTTTGAAGGATCGTAATTACCCATCAAAAGGGCTTCCAACACTCCAGCGGAGGAATGGGCATCCTGAGCTCCAGGGGATGTTGAAGGTTGAGATTGCTGCTGAATCTGTGATCAACAGCATAAACATAAGCTTAGGAGTAAATCAATAAGTCAAACAAATGATATAAGTATGACTTGCTTTTGGCTGACAAGATGTCGAGTTATGTTTCTGTCGATTGTTGGACATCCAATGACCACTTCCAGGCGAAGAATAATTAGCCGACGTTTGGCCAGAATGCGTCGAAGGTATAGCAGAAGGTCTTGATCTCGACTAAACAGAAAAGGTGTAAAACAGAAACCTCTCTTAGTCAAACATATCAGGCAATGAAAAAACAGAACAAGCGCCTAACTCAGATGATTCGAAAATATCAAATCAGCAAAGGGTATTACGAGTTAAAAGTGCAAGGATCTGGGTTATTCAACCAGTAACCAATAAGCGAGTAAGATTAGCAATAGGTATAAAGTAGGATAAGAGGAGTAAGATAAAACTGAAAACAAGTTTATCTTCACATCTCCTCCGAGAACGAAACACGTTAAAACCAGAACCGAAACGAGCGCCTGCCACAAATCAAGTAGCTCAATGATTCCCCGCAACCATGTTCGCTCTCTTTCTTTCTCGGTTTGAACACGTTTTCCGAGTTTCGAGAAAGCAGCAGTGTGAAAACAAAGGTGTAAGTTGTTTGAAGAAAACTGCAATGGTGTTGACGTCACTTAATGGAATTGGCTAGTCGGACGTGGTAGGGCAAACATATCTAGCCTGTGAGCTCGAACTTTTGAGCACGACCTACGCATACAACGGAGGTTGAAAGAAATACATGATGGTACGACGGTTACCAATGAGTTACAGAAGCGTAGGTTAGTTCCGATCAGCAAACGGAACGATAAGATTCGAGATTCCCATTGGAAAGGTCTAGTATGTCAACATGACACACATTGCAAGTGATGCTAACACTTCCCTTAAGGCTACGATGAATGTTTTGAAGGAAATGGAATGAGATCGTGCAGTTAAAAAACATTGCATGCCTAGGGAATTCATAAAACTGCAACTTGGTTTCTAGGCAAAGTCTGCAATTCTTAACTAAATGCAAGCTAATTTTACCAAGAGAAGCGATCAGTAGAGAGTATAAATAAACTGCATTAAATCATGTGGATTCAACTCACAATAGCCCTACCGTTATAAACAGTGATAGCAAAACATTAACGAACCAGACTAAGATAGTTCTAATAAAATAACTCGCTAATTGTTAATGGACCAGATTATATTGCCCTATTTTATAATAAGGCATTAGACAAAAGAGTAGAAAGAATATAACCATATATGAAAGAAAATAAATAATCAATAAGTAGATCGAATTCAATGTTCATTATCATCTAACAGCTGACAGTCCAAACCTTTCGATCCAAGATCCAAATGCCCAACACAATTAAACAAATCGCGGGGTTAATTAAAGTTAAAGCTCCATCTTCACGTGATGCAAGTAACTGAGTCAGGTGCTTCCTGACTGACCACACAATAGAAAAGCCCTTTTAACCAAGTAGCCATAAGCGACGAAATGGAACCCCTAGCCAATTACGCCTATGCTATTTTTGTCTGCCGAAGACTCAACGAAGTTGATGTTGCTCAAAACAAACCATCAAGACATGGGATTGAAGGCATATCTACTGCCTATGACCAGTTCTCGATTTCAACTACCTTGTGGCAAATATTTATAAAATTGTTGTTTTTTTGTAAGTAAAAGACGCACGGTCCACTTTCATCCAGTTAAATACTTATGTTCTAATAACCTCAGACTTGCACAGGTCGTTAGAAAAAAAAGGAATTATAAATAGCAAAGTTCATGAAGTTTGTAGACCTGCATCTCAGCAACACACTATGATATGGTAAACGGCGATCTATAATACACCATTTAAAATACATCGTGAATTCACCACAACATTCCAAAGAGGATCTTAACCCCCCCCCCCCTAAGAAGGCTCAGGTTGGTGATATTGGAGGATAGATCCTCACGTGTTTCAAAAAATCTTATGTCATCGCTAATTCCCGGGGCCTGGATCTCTCGACCTCACGGTGACTATTGTAGTTTTGCAAGTTGCTGCAACCTCAAGACTGCTAACAAGCTTAGAGTGGTGGCGCCTAAAGAGCTTAAAACTGCCGTGACATCAAGTTCCGTTCCCTCCCCCCACCCCCCTCGGTAGAATACCATCGTGTGTCCTCAAGTGGAGCAGGGATCTAAGTGGTCATTGTGTGAGCGTTGCTAGGGTTCAATCCCCTCTATGACACTATATAATGCCCATTTAGTAAATACACATATACAAACTTGACACCTATCGGCTAAGATTCTATCAACCGGCAGTTGACTTCTGACTTCAAACTACCATGACCCGACTGCTTGTCATATTCGACCCCTTCCACAGTACTCATCTTACCTTTTTCTCTACTTTTGTGTCTGTCTGCCTCTTTTACATCTGTGAATCGCTCTTCTGTTCCCCACCCCTCGACTTTCTTCTACTTTGATGAACCTTCCCCTCTGTGAAGCCCAAAGTCAGCTAAATGGCTAATGATGGCTATCAAAACGCCTGCCATTTGAAATAAATAAATCTCTTGCGGACTTTCCCTCGTGACCTCGTTCCTTATAAGCCAACACAGCGATTTGCCAAAAATGAGCTTTAAATTAAGAGAGCATAGGCAGAAAACCAGGCACTTCCTGTTCTGAAGCCAAAAGACTACAAATAAAAGAACATTGGGAATTCATTTCCGAGAAGGGAAGAGTAGAAGAGAATCAGTGCAAAAATTCAGAGCACTTTTACTTACCAATCTGGCGAATTCCAGTTTCAGGATGGCATGGAAATTCGTGGAAGGTAAATGAAACTTAATGGCTAATGCCTCAACAGTACTGCATGAAGCAAAGGCAATAATGGAGGAGTGTCAGCTCAATTTCACAGCAACTCGAATGCTTCGAATGTTGGCAATCTCCCCCCGCCCCTTTGCACATGTTTGATTAAAATAACGAACACAGATTTAAGCTCTCGCGATAGAAACTTCAGCAACATACTTTGTGCATTTACCGCCAAATTTACTTTGAAGCGAAAGGGACAATGGATAAGAGAATCAGGTTAATCTGACTTGGTTCAATCTATCCCATTAATTAGGCAGAGGTAACCAGTGGCATTGGCCCTTCCGCTCACTGGATGCACTCGGAAGAGCATCGAAGCCATGACCTCTAACTCCGCAAAAGAGAGCGTTAACCAGCGCACATCAAAAAACTCAATGAAAATGCCTTCCCAATAACTGTAGAACCTGGCTAAGGTGAAGCGAGAGAAACTTAACTTAGACAAACGAACTTGGAGAACTTGACTGACATATTCCTTTTCCCTTAACTAATCATAAGATAAATAATTTTTTTCCTTTTATTAAAAAGCTAACTAGAATAGTTCAGCTACCGGACAACGAAGTGGCGTTAATCCATCATTGCTGTAGCGGAAAAATAAATCTGGAAAACAACCGAGACAATAACTTGAAGTGTGTGAAATTAGGAACATATTGAGATAATTCCCTGGATAGTAAATTATAAGCCATGCATCAGACATGACCCCCATAATTAATAGTTCACGAAGAAGAGAGAAATTAAACGCAAAGTAATTGGAATAAAATATGAATAAATGCTGGTGGCAAATTGCAATAATCAAGAAGGGGTATATCAAACTCACGCCAAAGAAGGTCTGAAAGTCCATATTGGAGGAGGATGAGGGGGAGGAGAATAGAGCTGGAGGAGGTGGAGGTGGAAGAGGGAGGGAATCGGGTTCCGAAGGAGGAACAGACAACTCCTGCACCAAGGACGGGCGTTTTGGCGGTTGGGGATGAGCAGTGAAGGAGCTAGAAGATGCGGCTAGGGCAGATGCTGGACGTGTTGCTGCTGTCGGAGTACCATCCGACTCCCTCAAAAGTTGACCTGCGGTTGTTGCCTTTAGAGACCCAATAGACGATGCAGTCTCCATGCAAGAGCCTAAAATCAAAGTTATATTAACTCACTGACCAGAAAAGCGTTCACTTAATACCAAAAAGAATGAAAAGACAGCAATACCTATTATCACAATTCGATGAAGCACTTGAGATGCGTTTTATGGGACCATTAAAAGTGTTATGACCAATATGCGAAAAGTGGCATGAACAAGATATCAGACGAAATAGAACAATACATCTAAAATGTACCAGTCTGTGGAATTGGGAGCTTTCGCCATTGCATTGGCGAAGTGTGCACATTTTTTTGTATTTGAGGAATGTTTAAACAGGAGTAGGTAACCTAAGTGCTCATAGCTTTAAGTAATAAACAAAATTTTACCGAAAATATAATAATAGACAAACCGAGAATTCCTCCTCCATAAAGTTAATCTTGTACTTGCCATGTGCATAACAAGAGAAGAGCCGATAATGACCTTTGAGAAGAGATATTTAGTATCAACTGACCACTGACACCAAAATTTAAAATGAAAATTCAACATTTCGTTCCACTTAACATCAGCTCCGATCACTACAACTATTGGAATAGTGAACTGCTGAGTGCTTGAATGCAGAAATTCTAGTTAAGATTAGAGCAAAGTCATTCATTTCAGGAAATAAGAATAATAATAATAAAGACGGCAATCGGACGGATTATAAATAGAAAGGACAATTAATACAACCACTGAATAGAATACATCCCACTTGTGACTGCAGATGGTAACTATAAGTTCATTAAAAGTACAGTTTTAAAAAAATTATATCAAGTAGAGATATTGAATTACGAAGCCAACCTCGTAAAAAACACGAATTCTTCAATTTCCGTAATTATGCAAAAATAAATATTTTGTTGGGCAATCGGAAAAGCGATTTGAATCAAAACTCTCATAGTTAGCGGCAGTGATTCGAGGGTTGATTATAGGAGGAAGAGAATGTTTAAAAGAGTTAGACTATTCATACGAGACATGGGTGTTAATACGCGGTAAAATTCGAGATGCATGGGTCCTTTCATGACAATACGTTCGCTATAATGGACTGCATTTTTTAAAAAAACACGATCCATATAATTAAAAGCCTATGAAATAGCAACACTTAATTTAACCCCTGTCAAAGAACCGCAAAGTTGAATTATGGAAATAGGAAATGCGAACAGAAAGTGATCAACAACTCACTTCCACAAAGAGAAGTCTCTGATGATGCAGACGACATTCTTCCAGGACAAGTTGATGAAGTTGTCAGAGCAATACTCGATGTCTGTGGAGGTGGTAGGTTCTGACTTCCGCCGTTGCTCGGATTAGAATTCGAATTTTCTGTAGATGAAGGTGTCTGTTGCTGCTGTTGGCTTTGGTTTTTATTGATATTTTGGCGATGATTGTGCGACGAGGAGGAAGAGTTGGAAAAGAATCTTGAGAGGATCTCAGGTCCCAAATGCCGCACAACAATGGCTCGAACCCTCTGTGCGACCATGTCAGGCTCTGCTGATATAGCCTCTTTGATTTCCCGTATAGCTTCGGGCAATAGAAGACTAAGGAATATGGATATTCTAAAAGGGGAAAAGAGATAGATAGTCCCAGGTGTATTTTGTGGGTCATTACGATCACCACGAAATTACTTATCATCTTGAGAGGAGAATTTGTTCAGTTCGGGTGGAAGATTAGATAAGGGAGAGTGGGTCATTACGGCGCTTTTCAATCTATGTCTATCAAAGGATCCGTCTTTTTGGCTAGACACACCAGAAGAGATACCTCGAGTTACTGTTGAGGTAACTTCTAAAATACGAAAATAGTTCTTATTAGTAAAAATCAATTTATGGCAGGAATTTAAGCGTGGTTGAAAAATAAATTAAGAAGATAGGGCGCGCTAAGCAAATTCCTAACAAAACTAACAAGCGAGTTTCATCAGAGTTACATAAAGGAAGAGAATAAACAACGAAAGATAGTGATTAATAATTCAAGGATATTTAGCAAATAATAAACAACAGCCATCAAATTCCTTCTGTTAAAAATACCCAGGATTAATAGTAGAGAAATCACACATTGATTTCTGGTCTTGAAGGCTAAGATTACATTAACAGCAATAGCTTTTAAGTTAAGGTTTCAACCAAGTAACCTTTGCCACCCTAACTCTTCTCTCAAATTGTACTCGAAACACTCCCCACCTCAACAAACTCTTATTTAACTTCTAGAATGTTCCTTTAGCTCCACTACCTTCCCATGTTCGTAAATCCCCTTATCATAAACAATTATAAAACTAATATATTAAAAGCCATTTGATAAAAAAACAATAAGTAGATTACCGTTGTTAATGCCAAAATTTGTGCGTTTGTTAAAATAATTAATAAGAACGGTTGTTGGCTTGCACAACTCTGGAAAAAAACCGACCTTTAAAGTAATTCCGAGTTTTCGTTGAGCAACACTATTTGGCGAATCGGGAAATTTACTTCGATTTCTTAACACACGGTGGATTGTGCACTCTTTAACACAACTTTAGAGAACTTAAAAGAAGAAATAACGATTTATATGGCCCTTTCGACTGCAAATTCTGTTGAAGGAGCCAATTATGACATAAATTTACTTCCAGCAGTTAGAGATAGTGCAAAGTGACAAACCTCCCACTCCATGGAATCCACCATGTCTAAAATAGTTCCAGCACAATCTGCTTGAAAGCAAACCTTGCCTAAACCACAGTGAGTTCCTATTTCCCGTCGGTCTGCCCACCAGAAAAGTGAGAATTACTGCCCAGAAAGACATAGGGAAGGTTGTTGCACTTCCTCCTCCTTCAGAGCTGCCAAACAGTCCACCAATATCAAGACTCCCAATGTTCATGGTTAGCTTAACACATTCGAGCTAAATCTATCCTGGCGATCGGCACAAGCCCAAGGATTTCATAGTTATGACTGCCAGTAAATCAAATAAAGGCTTGTATTAAGCACAGGATTTTTTGGGATATCTATAAGGCTAAATTTCCTATGAACTTCAATGACTGATTTAAAGGTGCGCAATAGAAACGCAGCACGTAGGTGAAGACTTGGAGTATAGTAACTGAACTAAATAATGACGTAGTAAACAGGTCCTTAAAAAAGAAAAATATCGTTTATTCCATACGATCAACAAGAGGAGCAGTAAATCCCGGTACTAACATCCAAGTTGGAGATTTGTAACTGCTAAGCCGTTTGTGTATTAGAGCCATACACTACTCAGGTTTGAAGAGGAAAACTTCTAGATCAAACGACAGCTGTCTTATTCACAAAATAACTGCACCTTTCTATGGGGCGGAGGAATGTGATAAATGATTGGCTGCCTGATTAGCCAATAATTGCGCCGATGGTTACTTCAAGGTGGTCCCGCATATCTGTATTGGAGAGTGGGAATTCAATAATTCGTAGACCTTTGTACGGGAGGAGTTTGTGAATTTTTTTAAATTGCTCAGGAAATATTCAATTAGGCTTCTTAACCGACGTAAAGAAGTAAAGTCCTCAATATTACAGTTTTTGAAGGATAAAGAAAACCTAATTATGAAGAAACGTTTAAAAAGCAAGAAATTTCAATCTTCTTCATTTTCAGGATAATTAGGATATTCATGTTGGTTAATTTACTTTTAAAACGATTAAGATGTTTGAAATGGCTTTCATGAATGAAGATTTTAATTTAGCTACAATCTCAGGTATTCTATAAATCAGATCCGCACTTTATTTGTGAAAGTGAGAAATTGTGCAATTTCAAATGAACAAAACAAAAAGAAAACAAACAAATGAACGTACTCTTCTATTTTTAATAGTGCGGAGAAGTAAAGCTACACCACTACCAGATAAACTCATTATTCATTATTAATTCAAATTAAAACAGGAAACCGCAAATTTACAAGTGAACTAAGTCAGAACTGAAAATTACAGATAGTTGAATCAGGCAGATAAGGGCAAGAATGCTTGCAATCCTTTTTAGTATATATTCCACATTCCAAAATTCAACTTGACGTTTAATAATAGCACAAAATCTCAGGGAAATTTAATCCAAATTCATTATTCAATGATCCTTCCTCGCGGTGGGAATGATAGAGTTATTAAGCTGCGCTTTGTATTTCGTTAGAATATATATTTCAACGCCATTTGTGCTAAATCCACTAGAAGTACAGACACACAACATTCAGTGTGATTAGTGGGGCAGACAGGCACACGTAAAGATCACGAGAATCATGTGATGCAAAAAGACAGGCATTGAGAGCAAAAGCGTATTGAATTTGCGAACATAGAGCCGTCACTAGCACGACTATGCGTCTGTGTATTCAGTCCATTGTCAGTAGATGAAAGTAAGTAAAGAGAGGAGGCCAATGATTGCACAGTTAGTCAGAAGATACACAGAATAGTTGGAGTAAGTGAAAATGACTGTGATAGGCAACACCCTGGCGATGGAGTATTTTGAAGAAGTTGCTTAGAGCCCACCGAAATACAAAGAAGAGTGGCAAGTAAAGTTTAAGAGCCAAGTAATATGAACAAATCAATGCAAAGTAGTTGTAGAAAAATTAAACACAAAGGAGGCCATAGAATAAGTATCAAAATTTCGCAGCTGAGAAGCTGGGATGCTTTCCTGATCCGGAGCTAAACCGAACCCGTCGATGATTTTAATTCCAATTAACTTCCATAAAACATTCAGGAAGTATATTTTTTCACACTTTGATCTTTCAATGGGAGATTTAAAGAAAAGAAGGGAAACTAAAACCAGGCCAACTTTCTGCATTCAGTGACCCAAGGTTTCGAAATCACTCCCAATCCCAACTGAAAAGGGACATCTAACAAATAGGCTAAATAAAGTGATTTGAAGTATGAACGAGGAGTAAAACGAAGTACTTGGCGTTAAAGTGTATACGTTTTTACTATGCTTCATAATGTGGGCTTTACTGTGCACTACAGTTATCGCGGATCATTTTATGAAGCGGACGCAGAAACGACTTCGTCCTTGTGGGGGACCCAGGAAGAAGGTCACGGTTATTTACACGATACATATTTTTAGAAATGGGGGAGGAACGTTTGGGAAGATCCCATTTATTGCTACACACGTGACACAACTTTGTACGTTGACGAAAACAGATTCCTGACCTCTCACAAACACACACACACACACACACACACATATGGCCCGTAAGAAACGTGAAGGCAAAACAGCAGAAACTTTGAGGGAATTCAAAGTCTTGGAAGTTTACTGACAAACACAGAAACTGGCATTGAGTCCAATCCATCCGAAGTTTCAACGCGCCCCCCCCCCCCCCCCCCTTCCATACAACAATCAAGCCATTTCGTGGGAAAAAGAGCGATGCAAACTGAGACAGGAGCAGCGGTAGTGTGGTGTTAGTGTAATTAATCTTTCCTAGGCTAAAAGTACACACCCTCTCCTCCCAAGGTAAATACCTTACCAAAACAGTTTTGTGTAAACAAATTTATATATAAATGGCAGGGAGTGAGAGAGAGATGGGAAGTATTTTAAGGCCCGGAAATATTTACTAGCATAGGACAGAACCTCGAATTCTTTAATGTCTTCATATCACTGAAAAAGTATGAACTGAAGATGAGACAAGGTTAGCAAATTCCAGATGAAAGTTTTGGTACCTAAATGGTAGAAAGTTACTGCTTGATCAAAAGTTTAAATTTACTATTCTCGGATTCTTTTACACAAAACAAACGTGAAAAATGTAGACTATACGTTTAACTGAGATTGACAATAATTCTCAAGTGGAAACTCCCCATATGAAGCCGACGTATGAAGATTCGAAACGTGGTGTTTCGTGTGATGAATAGTAGATGCAACGACCGCCACCTTTTTGCTGTTGCATCTATGCAAGGAGCTCGAGTGTCTTAGCAATTAAATAGGCAACAATTCCTCACCACTTACCCAAGTTAGATAATATAATTATGCCTTGTGTGAAAGTTTTTCTAGGGTTGAGGAAGAATGATTAAGCTTACGGGATATTCCTGAGCTATTTCGCGGCCGTTGTTGAGCGAACTGCGACTGGGGAGTAGGTTGGGAGGCGGTTGATTGGTTGGCATTTTCAAGGGGAAGAGTCTGATCAATCCAGTCAATGTCAACGGGGGCCAAATGAGCGCTGGAATAGGAAGGCGTCCGGGCGGGAGTGGTGGTCCGTTGGTTTTGCTCCGATTCCTCAAAAAACCGATAGTGACAGTCTTGGCCGAATTCCGAGAACTAGAAAAGCAAGGTGGTCATTAGACCCGCTATACGTATACCACTGTGCTCATGGATTTTATTAGTTATGTTAGATGTCATTGAAGGGGTTCTCGAATAGAAAACAACGGCTGAAACATTACCTAGATCCTATGGCATAAAAGTAAGTAGTTAGTCTATTTCTTCCAGGTCTTAAGAAAGGCAAAAATCGCTCAGATTCTACTCAGGCATGATTTAGCTAGCCAAACCATAGGACGTATATAACCCACTTGTCAGTTTTGACAGGCATTCACAAGGCAGTAGTAGTAGCTACGGCGGATGATAGCTAATTTAGGAGCCCTCGATCTTACACGAGAAACCACTAAGCTGAACCTTTCTTGAACAAGTAAAACGTTAAGAGCTATATTGATAAAACTGCCTTGTTTGTAACAATGAAGTTACTTCAGCTCCTCCTCTTGAAGCTTCATTAATAACTTAATAAAACCTTAATCAACCATTAACATTAGGCTTCTTGTGCGAATAACTTAGTGAAGAAATCGAATCTTTCACATAGAATTCATATGCTTCGAAGTAGTCAAATGTAGTGCTTATTGACAAACTGAGCATGTGCTCACTTTCAAATTGAACATCGACAAAATCAATGGGAAAAGTCATGCAAATGCAATGAAAGAAAACACCTGGCACACACATTTAATGCAAAAATGCTCAAGGAAAACCAAAAAAGAGAGATAAACTGGTCGATTGATGCAATAAATAACTAAAATTTTGATTTGAATTGTACCCAACGTCCAAGCCCTTATATCTAAATTGTCCAGGCCCGCATATATATTGGCTACCCAACTTAAAACCACCACTTAAATGGCAGGCAAAGAGAGAAGCCCTACTTGGATTAAATGGTTGCATTAAGAGAGCGCAGTGGAAGGTGCAGGCTGACAAGAGAGCGTGTATTCTTGACGGACGAACATTTAATGACCAACAAGAGGCGAGCGCCACCAATCACAAGACAGCTAGTCGCGCACCTTGTTGGAAAATAGGCGCACAGAGAAGTAGTGCAAGCAAATGCACGGAAAGGATATTCGAGATGGAACGGCACTGCGTCTATTTATCCTACCTCTATCACATTTGGGGGGAATGCACGTCTTTCAAAGCAGAGCCGACAAAGGGATTCCGCTGTAACGGGGAATGCAATTGGGGGGAGGGAGGAGATTAAGACGAAAGGTCACCCATTGTGTATTTGCCCTAGTGGGGAGCTCAAATCAGGCAGTTCATAAAAACATAATTGACCAATGGGAGGTACTTACAGTGGCAATAGAAACAACTGATTAATATTAAGGCTAAAGAGATGGAAACGTTGAACTATCGTTTCGACTACCTCAGCTAGTGAGGAGTGGAGCAACTGCAAAATGTGGAGTACGATGCATATAAAAAATCTATCATTAACCTAAAGTTTGTTGCTTAGAGCCAATTAATTGAAATACTTTTCCTTCGCTGATGAGTATTGATGTGGTACAAAGTACTAAAGGAGCACCGAGCAATCCGAAATTGATTATGCAATAGCAAGAAAAGCTTCAAAATTACGGTGAATACAAAGCTTTATAGTAGCAAACATGAATCACAAAATCCCTTAGCAAGACGTGTGAATGATGCTCTTACAAACACCAAAGAGTGATTTGTCCAAGTAGTTAAAGTGGCACCCAGAGCTGCGCAAGATAAAACAAACACACAGTTGATGATTTAACCATTACCTCACGAAGACATCTCCGATTAACCGAGATTACTTCGCAAGTCCATTTGGGGGGGGGGGGAAGAGGTGTTCTAATATCTGCTTTTATTTTCGGAAAGAAAATAACCCATGAAACCGCTCGACCATTGATCTAGGATCCCCAAATTTACAAGACTTTCATGTTGACAACAAAAGAGCCGAAGAAAAGGGGGTTAGACGTGTATAGACAAAGCTAGCAGTCAAATAGAAATCATCAACTTCAACAACATTAGCCACATCACGAATGATAGGCCACGTAAGCAGACACACTTCAAAGACCCATTGCCGACAGAGCAGAATTGGTCGGACTTTTATCTGCAAATGGAAGAGGATCTGGAGGCTAATAATAATAAGAAGATTACCTTGAATCAGTCGGATGCTGTAAGCAAAACCTATCAGAATAGATAATAATTTGTCACGAAGACATGGGATATCTTCGGTGTTTGATCGAGTACACTAAGAGTGCAGTCTGTGCACTTGTAAGCCCCCCCCCCTCATGTACTGAACTATCGATCTTTGGACTTTTACGATCAGAATCGGATATGCAAGACCACCAGTGAAGAATCAATTACTGCCAAAATTCGTCAACAAATCAGCCAATCATATGTTCCATGTCCAACATATTTTCTCAACAGAGGATTGTCGTTTAAACTTAAAGCCCTCTTCTTCCTCATCCTCCATCTGAGTAGTTTCAGTTCTTTAACGTAGGGAGTGAGAGAATAATCATTTGTTTATTTATTTATATCAAATGGCAAGCGTTTTGATGGTTATCATTAGCACTTTAGTTGACTTCCGGCTTCACAGAGGGGAGGAGGAACAACAAAGTGAAAAAAATTCGAGAGTGGAAGGAGGGTGGGGGGGAACAGAAGAGTGCTTCAAAGGCGAAGGTAGAAAACAGGTGAGGTGAGTACTGTGGTAGAGGTCGAATATGACATAGAGTGGGGGTGATGGTAGTTTGAAGTGAGAAGTCAACTGCCGGTTTATAGACTGTTTTGCCATATGAGTATACGTTGCCCAGGGTGCACCATCTGGAGGCAAGTCTATCATAAAAACTGCTAAGCAGATGGGATAAAAGGCTTGTTCAAACCACAACCCAGTCACTTCAAACAGCAAACTCTAATCACAACTGCTTAGCTGAACCCTCCTACAACCTAGTAATTATCATGTCTCTATTGTACAAACAGGAAGTCTAGCATTATCGATTTATTCGCCAAAAATGTAAAATAAATGAATAAAGTGCTAAACTCGACGAATGCACTTAAGTTAACGTTATACACCAATAGCCCATCGGATACTGCAAGCATTTATACTGGAAGTGAATAAACACTGAAAATAAATGAAAATTAGTGTGTAGAAATCAATTAAAGCATCACCTCAATCCAGATCACAATAACGCATTTGTTCCGAATGTAACTTAATCAATGAGAGGTCTAAACCATAAAATTTAAACCTACAATTATTCATAGACTGCATAATTGAAACTGCAGATGTCAAGTCCTCTCAAGTGGAATATTTATGCACACTTTTCTTGGGAGGAGTAAAAACATCCAAGAACCTCTCCAATGGGAATCCTACATAATATCCCTTCTGTGTCGACCAGTTTCAAAAGTCACACTCAATTACGCAATTGAAAAGATGTGCAACGTAGATCATTCTGACGGGTGCAATAACCATTACACAATCAATTTTTAAATGATTTTAATCTTTATTTTTAAATTAAAATACTAGATTCCGGGAGACTCACTTTGGAATCCTCGTTATTGCAGTCACATCCGTCCTCTGAGAAGATGTTATCGAAACAGAAGACTGTTGCAAGGTGCTCAATAGAGGAGGAGTTTGGACTGGAAGAGTTGATATTACTGGATGGTTGATTCGACGAAATGGTATTGGTAGCAGACTTTAGAGGGGAGAGATAGGTCCGCTTTTGGGCAACTCGGAGGGCAACAGCATCAAAGACTGTGGATTCGCAGGAACTGATGGATTCCAGCAAGGAGTCCCCGGGAACTTTGCTGCAAACAAAGTAAGCAAGCATGTAAGGTATAATTAGGAAAGCATAATGGGAATATTACATCTCCTCACTTATAAACATGTGGGGACTTCTAGAGTCATTAATGGTCTATAGATGAAACTAGAATAACTTATATCAAGTCAATGCAGGAAAGTGATTCATACGATTGCATTGAGAAGCCAGACAATTGGTGAAATTGACCACTGTGCCAATTAGAAGTTCACCAATAGACATCGAATTCGTAGGCTCCGACTTGCATACGAACACTTTAACCGTTGCACCTCTAGTAACTTCACCGCAGTTAAATAATACACCAGTGTGAAGTATTTTCCCATCTTTAGATAGAAAATTTTTCATTTGTTTCTCGCAAATTTATCTTTTGAAATTTCAACTGAACCAGAAATTTTTGCCAAATCCAACACAGTTTAATCTTCTGCTTTGAATACGGAATAAATTATAACGCATCTGAGTTGTTCAATGGTATTAACATTTCTTTGTGCGTTGAAAGAAGGCGCTTTCCAACATTTGAAAAATAGAACAAAAAGTATGCACATTGAATGTGCGAAGATGAGGTATCGATTCATTGGCGTCTAGTTCACTAACGCAGACTGCTATACTCCCAACGTACAAAAAGAGTAGACTCTTCGTTAATTCTAATCTCTGTCAATTTGAACTTCAAGTACTTGTGCATATGATTGAGCACACAACCTCTGTGTATTGAAGTGACGGAATTTAACAATTTAACTTAACTGACCTCAACATGAGAAAAAAGAGATATTAAGGTTAAAGGGATGCGCAGTAATGTCTTCCACATGGAGAAATCTCTGCCATTGATTTCAACTTGACGAATAAGTTCTGTTTCACTTTGAAATACGAGGAGTAGAGTTTTAAAAAAGTTTACGCCGTTAATAATTCTAATTTATGATGACAAGGGGGGGGGCATTAGATTTTGAAGTGTCAGCCTACGCCGCTCTTTGTAACAATTTGACCACAAACCGCGCGACAGTAATATAAAAGCTGATATAAGCGAAAATGACCAACCTGTTCGATAGTAGCTTAACAAAAATTCGAATAAATCTAATCAATACCAACCATTATTTCGGGAAAATTTCAAAACAAGATCTCATTTAAAATGGGGGAAAAAGTGTTTTGCCACCAAAAAGACGAAACGACAACCAACTGATCTTGCTTAAATATTGCATTTAACCAAATAACACAGCCAATCAACAGGCTTACAGCGAGTTGGAAACCACTTTTAATCGATATAATCATGAATTCACATATTTAATTTCAAGCAATAATACCTCTCTAGAAGGAGTGAACTAGGGGCACAACTTGCACTTTTTAAGTCTATGCTACCAACAAAATTGAGCCTAACTAAGGATTATATAGGTAATCAAAGGGAGTTACCCGAGGATGCAATGGTAATTAAGAAGAAGGAGGTTCTCAAATGATGAAGTTGGAGAGAAGACAGAAGTGCTTTCATTAACAACAGTGGGCGTAGATGAGTGCAACTTATCTCTCGCTGCCTCGTTTCCATTAATTCCCTGATTCCTCAGGAAAGGAAGACTGATAGTTCTAAAGTAGAAGACCTCACTAGCTGATCGCCAATGAGCGCGATAGAGAGGTGAGAGGATGAAGCGTCGAAGAAGTGCTTCAGCATTGGCGGCAGCCTCTGCCATGTCTGGACTCATCCGACTAGTGGTGGAAACAACTTGTTGTTGGGAGATACCTCCTCCGAAAGAGCTGCCACCACCGGAACTTATTCGACGTCGTCGTTGATTGGTGTTGATGGCACTAGTGGACGAAAGGAAAGGGGCTGAGGGAGGTGGTGGAGGTGATTGACTTGCTGCCAGTCGGGCCGCTCGCCATCGATCTGCTTCGGCAACGGCTATAATAGGGGTAGAAGTAATACAATTTTAAAATCATATTTTGATATGAGGATGTTAAATTGGAAGACCCAACGAAGAATAATAGACACTTTTCCTCCATCAATCATCCAAACAATGCCATAGGCTGCCTTTATGTAACCGAATAAAACGGCAGTCTCCTCCAAAATTCGTTTAGACAATCTTATTCTGATTTTGAATAACTTATAAAAGGAACGCAAGCAGAAATTTTAGGAGTTGAAGATAAAGGGATGGGGAGAGCGAGGATAAGAATAGTGAGAACTGCTCAAGAGTGGAAACATGTGGTGGACCAGGTGTTCGACAGATGTCTGCCTTCAAGTGCAAATCCCTATCTCACATATCTCCCTCTAGCTACCTCACCAATGCCGATAAATTCCTTGCATATGAAGGTTATTTTAGACAATTTAAGTGGCGATCTTAACTAGATCAACGTGGTAGTATTTGAGGCCTCAAATGGTAAATAAAATTCCAACTCTTTAATTTCCATTAAAGATGACATCTGTGGATGTGAGGAAAGTTAAAACGAAACGCTTTGACCTCGAAAGAAAAATAAATCAGGCCTTTGGAAAGCGGAGGTGGGGGGGGGGGCAATGACAGGTTGAATATACCAATTTACATAGAAGTGGTTGAAAGGCGCCCTAGCGAAAGATAATCAATACTAAACACGAATGGTCGAATGGACAAAAAAGGTGAGACTCACGAAATTCGAATTTTGAAACGCGAATTATCGACATAGTATTGTACAAACCAAATACGGGAGCAAAAATAAATAGGTCTCTTCTATACCTGCATAATGAACATGGCGTCTTTCGATTCCCTCCCCACAATCATTTACCGGATTTTAGTTGGAACCACACTCAAAAATAGGAAATCATTCAGATTGAAGTGGATCATAATAATTGGAAAGGAATTCCCTAATCGTATTCGACTTGTATTTAATTATTGGATGAGACATTTTACTCAGAAATACCGAGCAGGTACCGGAGGGGAAAGGAGATATTCGAAAATACATAAACCAAAAGTGTGTGATTGGTCTGCCTCGTTTTCAAACCGAGAAAAGATACACAACTTCGTTAGTTAGACTTGGTGTTTGAACGTTACCACAGTAAACAATTAACGCGATCATTTTATGACATTTAAACTGACTAATATATATATATATATGTATATATGTATATATGTATGTATATACAATCTGTGATTGGGTAAGAATAGTATGAAACTAGACAAAAATAAATAAATAAATTGAAGTGGATAGCGTAACGCTCTGAAGGAGCCTTAAGGCCACAATTTCATAAAAATGAAACAATGCATGCAATATCAGCGTTAAAAAGAGTGCCTGACTAGATGTTGAAGTCAGAAATATTTTCAGTTTTGCAATAAGTTAAACAGTCTCTGGCAAATAAAGCCTGGTTTGCAAATACAAAAGCAGCTTTCATTCAAGAAAAAAAGCCAATTAGGACTGAGCCCCGATTAAACTTCAAACTCTGAAGCACCACCCCTCAGAGGCCCAGTTGAAAAGAACTCCGCATTTCTTTTATGGTTATTTGCACACTGAACCTGTACACTTATGTTAACACCTTTTAACTTAAAAAACCCATTACAGTACAGAGATCGTGCAAAATTCTAAAATTCTTTATTTTGATATGGAAAAAAAGTATGAAATATATTAAAGTAGAATACTTTCAAATACGCGAAAAGTCGGTACTTGCATCCATGTTCCTGACCTCACAGAAATGCTCCTGGCAAGTACTGGTTTCATACAAAAACAAAACAAAGCATAACCACGGGCTAACAGGTCTTGGTTTCCTTCTCTTATGCTCAATTCAAGGGTGTGCGATAGACTTACCTCCACGTGGTGCACCCTGGGCAACGTATACTCATACGGCAAAAAGTCTATAAACCGGCAGTTGACTTCTGAGTTCAAGCTATCATGACCCCACTGTATGTCATATTCGACTACTTCCACAGTACTCACCTCACCTTTCATCCTCCTTTGTGTCTGTCCCTTTTACATCTTTAAAACACTCATCTGTTCCCCCCCCCCCCCCAATCTCGACTTTTTTCAATTTGATGTTCCTCTCCCTCTGTGAAGCCTGAAGTCAACTAAAGGGCTAATGATAACTATCATTATGCCTGCAATTTGGTATAAATAAATGTTCAATTCAAAGTCAGACGCCACTTCCAAAGACATATCAAGGGATACCAAACTCCTAGGTGTCCAACAACTACACTCATTTCCCCAGCAAGATAAAATGTTTAAGGACACAGAAATAGAGCAGGAGAGAATAGATTGTAGATAAGTCCACGTCCCATGCATTGACAAAACGGCGAAATGGAGCTATGAATAATGAACGGATTTGCCATTGTTGAGCGTGACAAATAGCCAAGCACAACGCAATCATTCCGATCGCCTGCCTTTAAGCTCTAATTAGGTGTCGTAGATGGCTGATAATAGCGGGTTTGGGATTTGAGGTGGTGGAATTGATAAGGGGTTATAAATGTCACTAATCATAGCTCTCATGATCACAGAGGACGGGGTTCGGGGAGTGCCTGGCTGACGTATATCATTGAGAAGTCAAGGGAATTAAAGGAAAATTCTGGCTACACAAGAATATCTCATATAATTGAATTGGAAATATACATACTCTTTCCTCCGATTAATGATGCGATATTTCGATAGTTAGCAACAAAATCCAAGGGCGTTGCGATATGAACATGATGTCCCTTTACTTTCACCCACGAGTTGCACTATTGATGCCTATGACGTGACAGAGAGCTGGCCCAAATAACCTTCAACGTGCCGTGCGAATGCATTTATCAAATGGTAACTAAACTTGTATGAGCTATGTTATGCTTGAAATTCTTTTGTTAGACTCATTGGCTTACTCATTGATGCTGTAAGAAATTACAATCGAACCAGAGTGATTTGATCAGCCATTAAATTATATCAGTTGGGCCGCATTTCACGAACTCAAAGAGTTAGATTAGTGAAAATTAAGGTGTCTCAAAGTGAAACATAACCATTATGATAAAGCAAGCAAATGAATATGACCAGAATTCCGATAGAGCAATGCTACTGACGGTCTGTTTTCGTTGATCTCGTTAGTCAACTATTATCCTACTTCCCGTACTTTTTAACGATATCTTTTGATTACAGTTTACAAGCCTTTTTTGCGTAATCGTGCGCAATAACACTCATGCACTTTATAACAATAAAATTGATCCCAAACTTGGGTAGAAACGGTTACAGGCCACTTCTCTTTTAGTAGCTTATTTTAATTTATAAGCAAATATCAAGGTTTGTTAAAAGGTCAACTCAATTGTAAGCACAGTGCCAATGGACCGGAAGAGTGAAAACTTTGGCAAATCACAAATTTAATACGCCAATAAGGAAGAAGAGGAGCTACAATAATAATATCGAAATTTCAGAATGATTAGAAAGTGGAAGAAAGTTGAATAATAAAAGACAAAACAGAGCAAAAACATGTGTGAGAGAGAGAAGACTTCTGGCCAAAGATTAGCATTGAGGAAGAAAGTTCGAGCAAATGAGGAATGGGATGAGGCACTGAAAAATTTATTGATTTCACATGATTTGATTTGTGGACTCCACCCAAAATTCACCGAGTTTGTGTGAGAGCGAATTTTGATTGTGAAAATTTGCTTTGATGTGCAGCCCAGGTAAACAAATTAACTGCCGAAAATTGGTGGCATTGTGCGTTACGAATGCTTCTGTGTAAATAAAATTTACCCAATGGCCTACTACAAGTGAGTTCAAAACACGGTGAAATCGAGGTTCACCAATCGATTGGAAATGACTCGAGCAGTAAATGAAAGTGTGGCGAATGCCAAAACAACATCCTTTACTCAAATTACACATACCACCCCATCATAAGTTCGTTTCTTACATCAAAGTAATATTACAGAATGGGATTGAAGCCAGGTATTTTAAGGGCTGCGATTTAACAAGATCGATGTTATAAGATAAATAAATGCACATGTCTCCAACTAGAAGTCGACAATATAGAGATTAAATCGAAGAATGGCCTTTTTCGTCCAAAGCTGACAATGCAGCCTCGATTGGTAGGAAATAACAAGGGAAACTAGAAAGCTGAGTAAGTGCGAAAGACTGTTATTGTGCTGTTTTACACACTCATAACAATAACAGCATAATAACCAACGGAATAAGCGCATACGTAAGACACACACACACACACACTCACATACACATGATCATAAGCCACCAGCGGGGCGCTCACATCAATACAGCGGGAGAGTAAACACATTGTTCTCAGTGTACCTATCATGTGATCAAAAAGCGTGGGGTGGGGTGGGGGGGGGGGGGGGGGGTTGAGAACTGCTCTTAGGCAGGCGCAAAAGCCACTCTACTAGCTGTCTGCCTGTGCTTGGGAAGTGAGCAAACTACACGTCAACTTTTACTAAGCGCATCATAGTGGGCATTCCATTCGGGATTATATTCATTTGCATTGAAGTGGTTCTCAATGTCCCCCAAAAGAAGACCCCAACTCAAAAATATCTGTGCAGATTTGAAATCCAAAATCGTGGTTATGTGAGCGAATATTTGAATACCATGAATGAGCCGAGGATTCCAAAAATCACCTTCAAAGTCATGATAAGTCATAATAGTGGCAAGGGCGTATGATAAAACTGCTTGGGTGTACGTAAGTGCAGAGTTTGCTAACTCATGGAAATCCAAAGATCTATAGGGTAGAATTTTCGTCTACCACGGGTCTTCGGAGAATGATTAAAGGCTGGCTAATGAAGCAGAAAAAAATAGATTAGACTAGTGGGAAGAGGAAAAGGTAGATTCTGAAACTAAGATCAATTAGATGATTGCACATGCCTTCTAAAGGGTTTATCGCAAGGCAAAGGTAGTGAACAGGGAACGCTTATCAAACTACTAATCATCGACCTGCAGTAGACAGTCACACAAGCGAAGATAACAGCCAAAGATGAGAAATTTGCCAACAATCGACATAGTAAATCTCTACACATGTGCAAACACTAAGCAAGCGCTTAACAAGAAATCAGGACGCTTGGTCTAGGAAATAGTTTATTTAATTCAATATTGAAAATTGCGGCAAAAAATGAAATTTACATGTTTGTACCCTCGAAATCATTGCCTCTGAGGGAAAAAATGAGACGAGAGAACACTGTGGTGGATCTATCCAAACCCAAAAGTGATTTGGAAATTGCCTTGTGCATAGATGTAACAGAATTAACGTATAAAGGAGGGTTTGAATAGCACTTGAATTTATGCCATTCGAATTTTGCATAGCCATCACACAATTTTAGTTATAAAAAGCAGACGACTTAATGCATGTAGAATTTAGGTGAAGCAGGAAATGACAAAATTGTTGACATTCACTCTTACTAATTTTTACCCTCGCATAGGAAATGAACAAATGAATAAATGAACAAAGACACTTACCTTCGGAAAGATGTTGGTTCCAAATCTCCACATCAGGAGGGTGGACAAAGTCACTCCAGCGTACATCCACGAAATTACTGATTCCATCACGCAAGAAGGGATTCTTGGGGAAGTGCCTACAATGAGTAAAGAAGTAAGGAATAAAGCGAATTGCTCACGATAACGGATAACCTTAGTAGCCTTATGAATGAAGTGGTGGTGGTGGTGAGTGGGGGGTATTAGTCACCACGCTATTCTTTATGACTCATAGACATAGAGACTAGCGCGTAAACGAGAACAGATACAGCAGAAACACGCAAGGAAAACAATAGGAAGACACACGTGACTTTAGGGTGTCGCCAAAAATGCATCTAAGATAAGTAAAAATTTCCATTTACATATAACAAATCTTGCTGCATGCATGACTGCTTTCTTTCTTCAATTTCACTATCCCAAATTGACGTAGGAAAATTACATTCCGCACTCTAAAAGGTGGAAATTTTGCGAGCAAAGGAAAGAACGTAAATTGGACTTTGCACTGACAGAAATATTGCGATTGAACAAGAATTTGAATACTTTAACGACAAGGCGTAGGTTTTCTATGGCCTGAGAGGCTTGATTAGATAGGTCTCAGGAAAATTTAAATCGAACAGGTAGACGACTTGATGAAGGAGGAATCCCTAGGTTCTTGACTCCAACTTTTATAGCATTGTCTGACTTTGGTCCACAAAGAAGAGACTGGATTGCTAACAAGTTCATGCGTCGGTTACAGTTCTTGGTCAAACTCTACAGCTGCTTAAAATATTAGACTGTGACACATAATCTAATCTAATGCTATCATTGTTAATTGATATTAACATCGGGGGGTGTGTGATAGACTTACCTCCACGTGGTGCACCCTGGGCAACGTATACTCATACGGCAAAAAAGTCTATTACCTGGCAGTTGACTTCAAACTACCATGACCCCACTGTATGTCATATTCAACTACTTTCACAGTACTCATCCCACCTTTTTTCCACCTTATCTACCTTCGTCTTTGATACACTCTTCTGTTCCCCCCCCCTCTTGAATTTTTTACACTTTGATATTCCTTCCCCTCTGTGAAGACTGAAGTCAACTAAAGGGCTAATGATAACTATCAAAACGCCTGCCATTTGATATAATAATAATAATAATATTAACATCGGTTTGGGGTTATTTCAAACCACATAGATAATAGATACACGGATAAAGCGGTGTTTTATCAACCAGAAAACCCCTGAGCATCTTACGCTCTGTGGGCATGCAGGCAGGCAGCCAAGCTTGGGATAAATGCACAATAATGACTTTAATGTGTATGCTAATTGACCTGTATGATAAGGTAAATGATAAAGGTGAAAATCAGACAAGGGCAGAATAAGTAAATAAGCAACTAAATAAAAAAATTTGAAATGTTCAAGCGACTAAATAAGCTTGCCAAGTTAAAGTGTAGATCGATTTTCCCTTCCTAATATAACACATTTTAATGATTAATTAAGAATGTATGTAAAAAAATAAGGTGAAAGTGAAATTTGATGAACCAAGAACAATTTCCCTGCAAATTCCAAAGTTAATTGAAAAAATGTGAGGTACTTGTAATTCATTGGTGGGTAATCATGTGACAAAGGAATTTAATAATGGTGAATGTAATAAGAGAAACAGCAACTCAACTAAACTATTTCTTAAAATAGTCTTACCAATCTGCGCAATTCTAGAAACGAGCTTACTTGAACCACTCAAAGAAATTAGAACTGGAAGTTGAGACCGAATGCAAACCCCCGTCATAGAGACCAACGTTTAATGAAGAGTCCTTCAGGAACGAATTTCCAACATATATCAACCCCCCCCCCCCGGCTTGAAAACTTCGGATTCGTCACAGAAGGACGAGAAATATTGTATGACAAGATTTTTGGAGAAAAACAGTAATCTTTGAAAAAATCGTTTTCTTACATAAAATTAAAAGAGCCCATACCGAATTCCCCACTTATATTAAAAAATAATGGATTAACATCGATGCTATTCTTATCAAGAATTCTCTCTCATTTACCACTAAATGAAATATTTCGAGTGAACTGGAAATCATTTTACTTCAGGATACAATAACTGCACTATATTACGCCCGAAAAGAGAATTGAGATCAAGGGAATACAAAGAAAATGCAGAAAATCTCATCGAACTCGACGATCATCATCAATAACAAGTTGATATAAAATTGGATAACAGATAGTTGTGCCCAAGGCATCATAAAATGTTGAACGAAAGATAATTTTGATGTTAGTTAACAAATGAGACCAGTTGATAAGTAATAATGGTTATATTACAAGTTCGCAAACTAAAATTCTCTTTGATTTCGACCACTTAAAAGGCCACAAAAGTATGGCATCTTTTGGGGAAGTATCTGGTTAGCTTTATAAGAAATCAATTCCTCTTCAAGTCAACAACTATTGCAGCGGATGTTTGTACACCATCATTCACTTCAGTAGATAAAAGAATTAATCCCCCCCCCCCCCCCACACACACACATACGCAAGAACACGTGTGCTCTATATTGGAATGTCAACAGACCTCCAATTTCGATGTCTGCACTAAATTCTAATGGAACAGCGCGCCTACTTTTAGTCTCTCAAGGTCGTCATAGGCAAACGAGGAGGAGTGGGGAAGGAGAAGCCAATCAGGAACTGCAAGGCACGCGCGCGCGCGCGAGGAGTGACGACGGCGGAGCGTTAACGCGAAATTCGTCATCTCGCGCAAAGTAAGTTTGGTGTGTAAATGTGGAGGAGGAGAGAAGCTGACCCAAAAACTGCCAATCTCTCAGCTACCTGCACGCAAATGCTGGTACGACTTAGGAGTTTTTGTGAATGCAGAGAAAAACACTGAAATTCGTTAGTAAATACGGTGCAATACCTACATAAACCCCCCCCCCCCATTTATGGCACTCAATATTAGCCAGTGCAGTTGAAGGTTCATTAATATGAACGAAAGTAGAACCAGTTGGAACCAACAAATAGAACGTTCCCACATTCCAAATCTTCATTTAAAGTGCTTGTCCCAAGATGAAGCTAAAAAGTTGAGTTGCGTTGGTTGAATTTGCATTTCAGTAAACACCACGTGGAAATGAAGATGCGATATGATTTCAAAAAGAAACCAAATGAATTGGTTCATGATAATAAAAATAAACAAAATTGTAAACCAGTATCCAGTGCCAGTCACTGTTATTAAAGAAGATCTCAGCCCGAACTATCACGATAGAAGATCAATAGAAGGGCATCAGTGTATAAACAGGAATAGATTCTGCTTAACTAAAGCGTTGGATTTAACCTATAATTGATATGCAACCCAATTATCAAACAACCGTCTTGAAAAAACAGGAACAACGTCAAAAGGCTATTAAAGAAGCAACACTATAATTGCTCCCAAGCTATAAATGGGAGGTGGGTGGAGGGGGGGGGGTGAGGGGTAGGCAAGAGTCCTTTTGTGTGATCATTCAGATGCAAAAAAATCTATTTAATTTCTGCTCGATGTGCGACACAATGTGCAACAGAGTTTCTATTAAAACTTATCAATCCAATTATATTGAGCTCATGTATATAGCCGCCATTCAAAGTTTATTAGCACTTTTTTATGAAAATTCCAAAATAGAGGGAAGATGTGAGTAGTGCAGTTTAGTGAAAGATCAGCCCAACATTATTATTTCAAATATCAGGCTTTAAGATATTTATTATTAGCCCTTAAACTTTGACTTCAGCTTTCCCCATGAGTGGGGGGTACATATAAAGTAGTTCATTAGCTATCTTCTTGCTTCCCAGTATCTCTGGGTTTCCGTCTTTGTCTTTAGGGCTGGACACCGAATCAGGTAGGTCTTCTCCATTTCCTCCCTTGGGTTAAATAGGGCTTATAGTTGTTACTAAATCGCACATGTGAAATCATCAAGCAGTCAATAGCGTCAAGCCAACTCGAAGGGCTCGGCAACACTTAATAATAATGTGAACCTTCATATCTCCTTTAGGAAATGTTCATCTTGAGAACTCCGGGGTGCGCGATAGACTTACCTCCACGTGGTGCACCCTGGGCAACGTATACTCATACGGCAAGAGTCTATTAACCGGCAGTTCACTTCTCACTTCAAACTACCATCACCCCCACTCTATGTCATATTCGACCCCTTCACAGTACTCATCTTACCTTTTTTCTACCTTTTTGTCTGTATCTTTTACATCTTTGAAACACTCTTCTCTTCCCTACGAACTGGGTTGGGTTGGGTTGGGGGGTGGGGGGGGGGGTAGTCTATAAGAGCTAAAAAATACCAAAAGAATGTTAGAAAGTGGAAATGAAACGGATAACAGCATTGGAGGAGGAATAGAATAAAATGCACTGAAATTGTCTTTCAAACAAACGAAGAAACCTAACTTGGCAAAAAAAATTAGCGCAAGTCCATCGAAACTGGAAGTAAGAAGAACCCTGGCCAAGATCTTAAAGTGTAAATTTGCGTGTAAAGCAAAACGCAGTGGATTACACAGCGTGTATTTACCAAGGGTAAAAATTCCGGAATACAAGGGTAAGGCGATCAGAGATCACGGGAGTTGCTCCCAATGTGGGAATGCGGAAAAAGAAAATTTCCTTTTAAACGCATTATCTTCATGAAAGACAATGAGAATATTGACTCAAAGAATTGACTAACTGCCAGGTTGCCCAGAAAACAAGCAGGCCATTGGGCGTAAGGTATGAGTGGAAAAACCAAATAATCGGTTCGCTTAGTAATTGTTGGCCAAGGATTAGTGAAGGAAGAGTAGACAATAACTTCACAATACCTACCATTTAGTAATAAGCTCACTGTGTTTGGGAACGAAAAGGAGGCAGGACCACGTCTAATCGACCCCATTGGCCCTCCCCTTCAAGCCAATATTGCTTCACATGTGCTCACAGCCTTAAACAATGCAGACACTTAAATCACGAGAACAAATGCCAGAAATGGGCATATTAATAGGGAGGGTTGGGGGGGGGGGGGGGGGGGGGGGGGAGGTTGAGACAGCAGTAGCCGCCGTCTTGCTTTATTATTGCAGAATCAATTTTTTCCCCATTTGGTGAGGAGAAAGGTGGGAAAGCGGTAGCTGAAACAGTAGATATTGTACTGCATACTTCGCTCATTATCTCTCGCCGCTGATGTAGTCAAGCGTCTGTTGCACAATTATTACTTGATGCCATGATAGACTAGTATATCTCCAGTAGTCAATTTATTAGATTTGTCATCCAAATCTAGAAATTGGTAATCAAATGATAGTTTACAATATATTTTACCACTTAGGAAAGACAGTTGAACACTTCCAAGGATTAACTTATCAGATCCTCAGCGGAAATAAAGAGTTTTGTATTACTTCAATTCCCAAACTTCTTAAAGGTTAAGCCATGTAGAAGTTTACTCATAGGAGACTAACCAATAAAGTACATAACCATATCCCCTCGCTACGGCCACATCCCAATATAACTACCAAAAATTGGCAAGTACGATCTTGCAGCTTATAACAATGTCAGAAAACATTATGAAACTTAAATTATTTAAAAAGGGCATTTTTCTCCACAGAGGTAGCCAAATCTCCAATTTACGCAACAAACAGGAATGAAGGAAATAAAACATAAAAAAAAATGTGAAACCACCAAGGGGTGTCAGAGCATCCATCAAGGTTGTTGTTAAAGTATATGGAAATCTTACAGGACAGAAATTATGCAGTTCTTAAGATCAAACTACACAAACGCTAAATAGGCAAAAGTTGTGAGTACAATTCTGCTTCCTCAACAAGGAAACAAAGATAGGACTCCTTCCTTCTTCCACCTATATCCATCCTACTTCACAGTTGGGGAACAGATTCCAATGAAAAGTTAAAATAACAATAACGCTAAGATTATATGTTGCATGGCGCTCTAACAATGCATTACGAAGATAGAGGTGAAGACAACGCGGAAGCTTTCCGTTGGAAAACTCGTCATATGTAGTCCCTAATGGTCACAAGTCTTTCGTTAACAAGGAGAAGAGAGTGTTGATTATAATAAATGATATTGGCGGTGGCTTAAATTATGTGCAGGGCGAACATTTACACAGCTAACACACACACACAGAGAGAGAGCACGCGAATGCTTTTAACACGCGTCGTGCACATTTTATTGCAACATTTTCGTTGTTAAGATGCATTAAGCCGCTACTGTTCATGTGTCCTTAGGACTTTGAGGCCGGAGAGATTAAGCAACCGTCTTGACCGACGACTAGGAGGGCCTACAACAACAACAAAAACAACAACAACAAGCCATGCACTTAAGGAGGAGATGGTGAATTTGGATAAACAAAGCGGGATGGCGTTGGTGGTGGTATCGACGTGCTTTCATTGTGACCAACTGTTTATATATATGGAAAGATAAATTAATGAACGACCAAACAACGCATATGTGAACTTGCCGAACACATGCCGATGTTTAAATGAAAAGCAATTAATTTAATTAAGTAAGAAAAAGTATAGCGCGTTTATCAGGTCCTGATTAATGGCAGTCTACACTTTCATCTGCAGAAAACGATGAAATACAGTCGAAAAATCCAAGTGCTATCAGTTAGATTCACATTCATACAATTTTGAGCGGCAATTAACTGACACTCAGTAGCTAAGTTGACTTTGAAGTTTTCAAGGAGTGATTTGAGTCAGATTCGGTGTTTCTAGCTCCTGAGCTCCTCAGGACATACCTTGTTATAATTGATGAAACATGTCTAAGTTGCCATGTGCACATATGAGGAAATCAACTGTAATTGATGGTAGAAAATCGATAACATTAACCGCATATTCATTGAATGTTATAAGACAGAAAACCGTCTCTCCCATGTGGATTAAAGACTTGATTAAGTAAAGGTGCGGGGGGAGAAGCCGAATTGCCAAGATGATGTGATAACATTCTTCGTAATTGAATTTTTGAAATCGCAAATCTTGAGAAGGCAAAATAATCCAGATTATATTAAAGACAGAATTGAGGAGAAAAGTCTGATGACATTTGCACAACTCCTGCCTGCTGTAAACTTCAAAACGGCTCAATTACGGTTTTAAGTTTATTGATTTCAAATTATAGACAATGAGTGGTCTGTATAAATTAACACTCGAATAAATTCTTCTAATAAACCGAAACCAATCAAGAGGTGGGTAGTTAGCAGATGATATTTTATGTCTAAAACTAGGGCCAAATTCTAATTGAATCAATCACAGAATTTAAAAAGAAATGAAAATTTTCAGACATCTTGTATGAATTCGTGCGACATATGACTCGGAGACGCCCATCGAAGAGGGAAAAAAATTATTTTTTTGACAACTTTTCTAAGAGTGTCGGAGTCATTGGAAGTGAATACATATTTCCGTTTTGAAATAAAATCGCCCAACGTATTGTGACCTTGTTGCCAACTCAACTAAATTGACAAATATTGTATAACATTCCGAGGGGCCTTCAAAGGAAACAATGCTTTCAAAGGAATAGGCTATTATTAAAGATAACTGAAGCGTTTTGGAATAGAGAAGACCAAACTTCTGAATGCACAGGGTGAACAAAAGCATAGTTAGGTGTATAAATATTCAACAGCGTCACAAGATATCAGCACAAATTCTGAGTACAAAAATGGTGAAATACATAGCCAGATCTATGGAATGACTCTTGTGTTCAACTTAATTACAGAAGTTCTCTTTTCTGTTTAAGCAATGTAAAAACGGAGATGCGTCTACACCGCAAATTTAACGTAATCAAGAAAATTCTTCGGCACACTTGTCAAAATCGTGCCGAAAAGCTTCTTTCAAGAAAAATGGGAAATACAGAAAGCGACCTTAAACACGACAACTCAAGTCGCAAATAGTTCGATAAATTCAAGCAATTTTGACCACCACATGTAGGCCACATAAGTGGGAAACAGAATACAAGTAGACAAGCTTCTGGCCAATCAACATTAAACCCAAACGAGAAAATTGATTTGTTTGACCTATTCAGTGTGGGCACAATTATTGTCTCATGATGTAAAGTTCTCAATGTTCTCAGCAATTGCGCGATGGATAATAAATAAAATGAATGGCTAACTAATTAAATCTAATGAAAAGTCTGAAAGAAGTTCATTGATCTCAACGGAGATTCATGATATCATTCACATAGCCCAATATGGACCATGTTGTCCCAAGTGAACATGTGACAAAGAAATCAAAAATAAATGAGATTAACGTTGTAGTGTCGTAGTAATTAAAGTCTCTCCACAGGAAAATATTAAATATAGCAAAATCATCGGCACCAAAGTAAAATTTCTCAATGAAGTACGGTTTGTAATGAGAAAAATGAACTTGGAATAGAAAATCTATAAAAGAAACGCAAAACCCTGAGACATTAAACATAATTTCGCCAAATTCTTTCATGGGTCTTTAAGCAGGCCAATTAGTAGCTTTAATAGAATCCAATCCAAAATATGAATGCATGAAAACATGGTGTAAATACAGTGAAATATGGCACTGAGACTCACGCTTCATGGTAGATAACACATCCATTCCGATCGGTGACAGTGACGACAATATTGACAAACCATGAGGGGTCCAATTGGTTTGCGGAATTTGGATCCACATCATGGGGTATGGCAAGATGGAAGGTAGAGTTTATCGGATCCCTTGGGTCACCCTCGTCACAAGGTCGAAGGATGGATGGCATTTGTTGAAGGAGTCGAAGGATCTCCTCATCCTCTTGACCCCCTCTTCCACCACCACCCGGGGTATTTGATGAGGGCGATGTCTGGTACCTTGAGAGATCATGTGATCGCAAACAAGGAACTGGCGTCACCCCCTTCTCTGTCATCATTGCGAGCTTGTGTCAAGGTCGAATTGATGATGTTGTTGGGCAGATGGCGAGATTAATTTTATTTCAATTTCTAGGTACCTGCAAAATGATACTAGCATTAAGGCGGGATTCAGCTAGTTTTAATTAGAAAACAACACCAATATAATAGCTCTACATAGCATAAAAAGTAAGCATAGATAGGATAGAATAAACGTGAGAGTACGTGCTGTGCATAACAGTGGAGGAATTAAGTCCTAAATTGGTGATTACATAGTTCTCTAGCGTCAAAACATTTGCCCTAGGAAGATGAAAGCTTAATTAAACAGTCTCAATCGAAAAGTGCGATTGATTGCCACTTTTGCCAAATTTCCACAGAAGAACTTGGGTCAAGTAAGCAGCATGACGAAGCAAGGTGTATTGCTTAGAGAAGTAAAGGCATTATTTGTGCTATAGTTACTGTCCATAGGAAAGTTAAACGCCAATTAAAGTTCGATACGAACTACGCGACTGCCAAGAAGATAAAGCCCAATTCTAGAGTAAGCAGATGCCTAGCGAAATTAATAAGACGCCTCTGCAGGTTCTCTAGCAACATCCAAGTGATTATAACAATTGAAAAATTATTAGTTATTCCCAAAAAATGGATAACAATACCATGCCTGATAGAAGAAGAGAGACATTCTTAAAGGCTGTCTCACAAAATCCGGCTTTTCACTATAAACAAAATCGATTTAAAATATTCCTCCTCAAAGAAATCAATACCCAGTCTAAAGATTAAAGGACTCAGTACGTTATTTGTTGGACAAGACATGATACCAGAGAAAAAAAATGATATTGAAAAGGGAATGAGAGAAGAGAAAGAAGTGCTACTAGAAGTTATAAAAACAGATCTCGAGTGGTGTAGATGAAGAATTGGATATTTAAGCTGAAATGACACACTCAAGCGCATCCCATTTGTCTACCACGACCACGAGAAGGGTCATAATAGGGTTGACAGCTGAGTGGAAAAAAGAGCCAGAGAAATTTGCATTCTGCGAATACTCGGTAAATACTTGGAAAGAGAACACGATAATAAACAAAGCGTACGGCCCTTGCAAAGCGTTTGCGAATAACGATTCAATAATCTACACTCAGACCAAAATTCCATTCAATAATCACTTTCGTTGTAGTAAAAAACCTGCTTTTCTACAAAAACACGGGCCTTGGATTCCATGTGCATTAGGATATCACCATTCGTCAACGGGACCAATAAAATGAGTTGCTCGTCGAGGAAGCTCTAAAGGGTAGCATCACTACTCAGTAGAAGCTAGCTATTCGGTTATGAAACTAATTCTAAACAAGTGGAAAGTGTGGATGTAAAAACGCACAGAAAGATATCAATTTAAAGTACAAGATAGTGACGGTACTTAAATAATTGCTCGGATCCAATTAGCCATAAGCAAAAAAATTGCGGTTTCCCGAAGAGGGTATTAGCCTAATGAATAATCAATAAGTAACTTTTAACTTGAAAAATACTGCGTAACGTTGAGACAATAGCCTCTAATCTGATAGTAAAAATATGACCAGAATTTTAATTCATGGTAAGTTATCTGCTTTTTTAACATTAAGCTAGAACAAGTATGCTTCTCGTTCATTGCAAATAGCTGAAAAGTATTAAATACGCGACCTGTTCAGCAAAAACTAATATTCTGGTAGACATACAATTAAATTGGACAATTTTAACTAAAGTATAGGCAAGTAAGCAAAATTTGGCGTTTTTAAATTGCTATAGTTTTGAATAGCAAAGCGATTGTGCGTTAATGAAAGCAAGTAAAGTGATAGTCTAACGAGCACAAAAAAACCATGTAATGAGGAGTGAAAAAATTGAAACAACGAAATAGCGAAAAGTGCGGATAAAGAAAACACAAAACCTGGACACCCTATGCGTTGTAGCGTGCCTGCATATGTGCGAATACCCACAGAACCAGTTAAATCAACATCAAAGACTAATGCTTTGATTCCGTCCGCTTATCTATGTTTATATTAAATCAATCAAAATTCAAGAAGCTCTTGTCCATACCCAACCATCAAAAGTTTTTCGAGTGAAAAGTACGAACCACATTTTATTAAATTCCGAGTAAATCCACCAAAAATCCAAATAACAAATTAAGAAGGAAATTAGATTAAAGTTGTAAAATGAATCCTTCGTAAGATTCCTTATCAAAGCATATCAACTACTCCGATGAGGAAAAGACGAAAATGTGGAGGTTTTATAAGGTAATCAAAAGATTACTTGTATTTTACTGGATGTATGGGTAAATATAATTATAAAAATAAAAGCTTTGAATTCGAACTTAGAAAATGAACGAAAGAAGGCGTCAATAAAATGGAAATCCAAAGCTAAACACTTAAGGATGCCAATACTTGACTACGCGAAACAGAAATAAAGAGGGCTGGAGAGTGAAAAGAAAAACTTTTGAAGTTCAAAGAAGTTTAAGAACGATAGAGAACAATATAATGCACAAACAGATGGTTGGAAATTTCTATAATCAAAGAATTTTCAAGATATAATATAAAATAACCATTTTAAAGTTAAAGTACAAACACTAAATTGCAACTTATATAAAAAAGCTAATACAAGTTAGTGCAAAGGTTCGAAAAAATATATCGGACATATTTTGAAAAGAAAAGATAAATCAAAACACAAATATGAGAACGAATGCAAAATAATACGAATTATAAATAAATATTAAATTAATTCACTGAATGAAATAATGCTTCAAAACTTAATAATTAATTGCAACTGAAATTCAATTTATTAAGCCGAAAAAAATCAATAAATAAACTTATCATAACCCACAAATGAATATGCGAAGGTAAGGTAAAATGAGACTGAGAAGCATAAAAATACAAAACATAAATAGGCAAAACCTACTGTTAAATTTTAATATTCGCAACAAAGACACAAACGGCCATTCTTCTTCGAACTTCGCGTAAGATGCTGACCTTTGAAAATGAAACACTTAAAACATTAAATTTTCATTAAAATCACCTAAAATAGTTTTTCGTTCCTGAATTTATTTTAAAGACCAGTGTCCATATTTTTCATAAATCTGTTCTAAACTGTTGTTTCTCAAAAATATCAGTGCATATTTTGATTTGATATTTCAAATGTAATTCAATTGATTCCTGTTCTATTCTTCTTAAAATTTAAATCTAAAATTAATAGTAATTTCCACGGTTTTATACATTTTTTTGTTATGCTTTATTGAGCAATTAGTAATTGAGTAATTAGGTTCTGTATCTGAACTATACTATTATGTAATAGCTTACAAGCCAACATATATATATATATATATATATATATATATATGTTATGTAATCCTAATGATCTAGATGAAAGTTAAATTTTAACTTATATTCATATGCAAAAATGTTTAATCTGTCATCAATTCTTGAGCAAATATATTTAGGCAGTTTCCGCCTCAATGGTTATTGCGGTTAAATTCTTTTTAAGGATTCTTTGTTGTGATATAAATTCAGAGCCTGCTTAATAGTTAAGCATTCGGGTAACTATGAACCAGTGTTATTTATTTACTGACAACCATATATACACAACATGTTGTTCTCCTTGTTGTTAAACCCCTCCGTAACTTTTTTTCAAGCTGCTTTCATTTCCACTTGTACGAAGAACTTTTTAATTCCACCATTCGATACCTTACGGCGTTGTTAACTCAACAGCCATCTCTCTAGCATATCTCGACTCAAAGTTTCTTGCTTCATTGTGGAGTAAAATGACCATATCCTAACGATTGGTCAATTATATACAGAAATAGGTTATCGAGCTTATTCCTTTCACTAACCTGTGGAAATCTAAAAGCGCTCTAGAGGGGATGGGGTATTGTGAAGTATACGCTCCTTCCATGATTAAACTAAGCAGCCTTATGCACGCTTAAATATTCTGATACGTGCACCCAGGAGGCTAACCTCATTAAATGGTAAAGAAGCCACAAGTTCAGTGACCTCTCGAATAATCAATAATCAGTAGTCTTTACAAGGTCAACACAACCTAAATAAAAGCATACTACGTCACACGTCTGTTTCATCTATATTATCGAATTTCGGACACCTTTTAACATCAGTATATTTTGTGAGGGACTAATCGTGACCCATTTGTGTGGCAATTTGACACAAATTCTCACTGACTATTATTAACATTCATACCGTAAAAATTTATCTTTAATATACCTCCATTCTTACACCTCTAACAGCATCCACCCCACTTATTAGAAGATATAATAATTATTCTTTGAGAATCTCTTTTATTACTTAAGCACTCCTGTCAGTCATAGCCAACCATGGAATTCTGCTTTTAAACCTTCCAAGGTTGGCAGTCTTAATATGTGCTACAGTTACCATTCGAACCAATTTCAGGTATTACTGGAAAAAGCTTGCCAATCCTGTCTATATTACTCAGTTGCTGTAGTAGAGATATGAAAGACTTGCAGCGGATTGTTACACTAATACGCATTGACTATACTCAATAATCCCTTTGGCAATTCCTCTTAGGTTGGAACGTACTCAAGATTATCATATCTGCCAAGCAGCTTAAAAGGAAACAGACGTGTCATGGAATAGATTTATTTGGATGATGCTTTGTATTGTAATGCTGTTTGGTGTTCTTTGACTAAAGCGAATCTAGCTATTGGATACACGTTCGGGTATTATAACCACATAATGACTTTGGTCATTGATTGATCGAGAGGTGTCTGTTCTTGTGACCTCATTTTGATTGTAATGACCCAAATAATGATTCATTACATTGGACGCTCACGCTCCTTTTTGCTTCAGCCATTCTGACGTTGTGTTTCTCTCGATTGAAACAGGCTGGAGGTTCTGAAACTGGCGATGTTTCTCCTTTCTAAATTCTATCTATTCAAAATTCGTTGTTCTCTAAGTGCATTATTTCTTCATAATGAAATCTGTGCATAAAGCCCGGGTAGGAATTTTTTTGATTAACTTCGGTCCTCTTGTAAGTTGAATATATGCCTCTATTTAGTACCTTTTCCGAAAAATCACCTAATATAATTGCTTCGTATAATTGTGGTTTCCATGCCGTTCGGGTACTAGGTTTTCCGAGGCAAAGGCAGCGTCAAATCATTAGGAACTTTTACGTGATGATTCCACAGCACTTTTTTAAACTCAACGCCTCGGTGGAAGTGTTGGGACGGAGAAGGGGTGGGAAAAGACGTGGAATCGCATTGAATTTTGAATGGTAGGGCCTCTATCTAGAAAGGATCCTGTTCCATAAGTTTGAAGGAAGTGAGCTATTTAAAAAACTAGAACTCTATCCTGACCTAGTGACCTATTATTAATCAAGTAGCGGTTGCGTTAGCAAACACTAAAACTTATAATGAACTAAAAGTATTTTTAAAATAAACTCGTAGTTCACGTTAAATCTGGTAAGACGCTTTTGAGATTTCGTGAACTGGTCTATCCATACATTGACAATCATATCCGCTGCACTAATTGCCATTTGAGTACTTTTATTTATAACTAAACCTGGAAATAAAGGAGGCAAAACGTTCCACTTAACCCTGAGAAATGTATCATAAATCGACAAACTTTGTAGTACTGAAGAATTGGATGTAGACTAATTCAGTAATTTCGCCAGACAGTACGAAAGCACTAACCAATGAGCAGACCAACCAGATAGCTATGGGCAATAGTGGCCAATGGAGATCGATTTCCTAAGTGCTTACCCACTGATAAAGAACTCCCTACAATTTCGACTATTTACTTAAGCCTACAGATGCGGTTTCTCCATAACATGTCTCGTGTTCTCCATTGAACGACTAGCTTCTATGTTAAGCTTCTATAACTCCGAGTTTCCCAAAGATTACCACTGAGACTTTAGTTTGTTATGCCATAAAAATACGATGAGACATAAATGAACTGGCAAAATTTATTACCTTAGCCCAACAAGGATTTATCGGTAGCAAGGTGTTAAAAAGGATAACATATCTCATTTTTCACAAACACTATCTGACGCTGTCACCTGCTCTAACCCATATGTCCAGGAGATCACATTCTCTTTAATAGGATCGACTAAATCTTTAGCGAAAACTCCAAGGCTTAAGAAAAACAAGCTAATGCAAGATTGAACTCGGTATTCAGTGAGCAATTTACTGGTTGCTCAATTTGACAGTTCATTAATAGTCGAAGTCTGCGTTATTCAGAATTAATTTCGATTTTTACCACATCGTTCTCCATTTTATACTAAACAAAATCTATGTGCAGAGGTAAACGCAAATCATAGAACCCAATTTTATATTCCTATTTGAAAAGGTTGCAAAATTAAAGTAGATTGTGACCAAAAGTAAATACAATACTATTTTCCAGAAGTTAACCCATCATCTATATTAGTTAGGTTAATAAATAAAAGATTAACATCAGCAATATTTTGCCTGAACTTATTAACAAAAGGAAACAATGATTTCCGGTAAACACAAGTTTAAAAAATAGTCCTATTAGATAATTCAACGCTTTCTGCCACTTAGTTCTCACCATCATTCGAGCTTAATTTGGTCGATTGACATATTTTCATACTTGATGCGAATATGTATAGACATGAGGAAGTGGGAGAATTTAAAAAAATTGTAGAGCATTGATTGATGGAAGCAGTCATGACCTTGACCGGTTGCCAATCAAAGGGAGGCGGCACTGAAAAGGAGAATAGAGCGAAGGGAGAAGGTTTCATTGGTATCGTAGGTGGCGTTTGTGGCTTGCTGGTCATCCACCAACTTTACACTCATCTTTTTCATGAATTCCATCAATGCATGTCGGAATGTTGAGACGTTTTGGGTGAATCTACAGTAAAATATGAGTGGATTAGTGAAAAAGATACAAGTCATAATCCACCAGACCTGTGGCTTATGCACTAAATTTGAAGAAAGGATGACAGCCACAGACAATGGACAAGACCAAGGTAAAGTTTTAGACTGTCTATAATCTATAATTGGATTTCAGGTGTTCGGGCTATGTTGGCAACACACACTAGGCATTTAAACATATTCTTAGTTTTTGCGTAGATCTATTTTATGCAATAACGAGATGCCCTAAAGTTTCATCAACGATCACCTCTATAGCCAAAAGTTATTCAAATTCATCTTTCTGCTCTTACTAATTGACTTAAAAGGCATATTGGGCTGTTAAAAGATCGACATTATTCTTCATCTTTAGGTCTACGGTGTCAGTGTGGATGATAACCAGAATCGGATAAATAAATCGGAAAAAGCTGCGAACTTGAGTTCTGAAATTAGAAAAACGAAAACGATGACACCATCAAAGCTTTCAATTAATGCAATTTGAGGCACCTATGGGAAAATGCTCCTGAGAAATCTATGCTTACACAAATCAATGTATTTACTTATTAGGGGGATGCAATATTGACAGGCTCACCCCCACGTGGTGTACCCTGGGAAACGTATACCCATACGGCAAAAATGTCTATAAACAGGCAGTTCACTTCTCACTTCAAACTACCATCACCCCCACTGTATGTCACATTCAACCACTTCCACAATACTCACCTTACCTTTTTCTCTACCTTTGTGTCTGTCTGTCGCTTCTATATCTGTGATTCATTCTTCTATTCCCCCCCCCCCTGTCGACTTTTTCTCTCACTATGATCTTCCTCCCCTCTGTGAAGCCCGAAGTCAGCTAAGGGGCTAATGATAACTATCAAAACACCTGCCATTTGAAATAAATAAATAAATATTGAGAGCTATGACATAGGCCAATCCAAATTGCATTTAAACTAAGCAATAGGGGGCGGTTTCGGGATATCAATATTAATTCCGCAGCAAGCAAGAAGAGTCAAACGATGTATACATTTCCATCATACCACAAACCAGTATTTTGCTTAACTTTTTTCTTATTGACTTTCTCTATTTATTTATTTATTAAAATATTTATGAAAGAGAAGAGGTTAATCAAAGAAAAGACGCACCTGTCGCGGTTTTTAGCAAAGAGGTTATCCTCTACACCGTCCATGAGTTTGCCGAAGATTCCTTCCAATTCGGGTCTATGTTGTGGACTCAAAGCATTTAGAATGCTTCGTTGAAGATTGGAGAAGTACTTGAAAATAGGAAAAAAAGACAATTAACTATTACAACTTCCCAAGATCCTGAAACATCCAATTAAAACCATGGGAAAACCATGCTCAATTATTATGGGAAAACCCGAACCTGAAATACCAAGGCAATGGAACTAAGAACCTACTTTTAAAGCATATTATCACATATTAAGAGGGATAATGAAACAGATTTGCAACATATATTCTCTATCCGATTCATCCATTAGTTATTAACTAATTGTGGTTAAGCGAAGCTCCCATTTATTAAGGCGAATTGCGATAGAGCTTTCATTATTTTCCATATCTCGGATTTCTTATCTATTTGTTATATCAGAAACCACTCAAAGATAACGGTGTGCGATATGATCTATGCTCGATACATGTTCTGGTTCCAGAACAAGCTAAAGCGTTACCCTATACTTAGAAATTGCTTCACGTCTTTGAATAGGGATAGGCGAAGCTAAAGATTGTAATAGCGAATGCTTAAAGACACAATTCTCAAATTTACAGGTTATATAATTGCTATTCAGTTTGCATTTAAAAGGACTAAAAAACCCGAAAATTGAATTCGAAAGTTATATTTTCCCATGAATAACTCGAATTACCCAATGTGATATAGCCTGTAATAGACAAAATACTGGGCATAGCATATCCTCTTTGTATTTCTACTTGGGGTGTGCGATAGACTTACCTTCACGCGGTGCACCCTGGGCAAGGTACACTCATACGGCAAAGTCTATTAATCGGCAGTTGACTACTGACTTCAAACAACCATCACCCCACTGTAAGTCATATTCGACTGCTTCACAGTACTCATCTTATCTTTTCTCTACCTTTGTGTCTGTCTCTTTTAAATCTGTGAATCATTATTCTGTCCCCCCTCTCGGCATTTTGCCACTTTGAAGTTCCCCTCCTCTCTATGAAGCTCGAATTCAGCTAAAGGGCCAATGATAACTATCAAATCGCCTGCCATTTGAAATAAATAGACATTTCTATTTCTATTAGTAGACTTATAAAGCATAGTAAGCTTACATCCTGATTAAGTAAAATCAGATCAAGAAGAGGTCTGGATATACTCCACTGATTCTTGCACTCCTCATTCATGAAACTCGCTAGAAAGGTGATCATCAGTTGTCGAGAAGTCACTGTGAATTCGCTAACTCCTCCATCTGGAGAATGCCGAAGAAAATCCTTTTTGAGATTCGTGTTCCCAGCCTCAGTTCGATCAAACCAAATCGCCAGTGCTGAACAACACCCTTTAATAGGCACTCCTCTAGTGATACAGGCTGTTAAACGTTGTCTAGCCGCTTGAGCAATCTCTGAGGTCGGTAGACTAGAAGGTGGACTAGGAACAAAAATAGGATACTTGGATTCCCCATGATTATTGAGCATTCCATTGCCATTCTGATTAATCCCGTTGGAAGTTCCATTAATAGGAGAGGAAACAGGATAAAGGAGCTTATAGACATGCGTTAGAATGGAATCGAGACAACTGCAAGCACTCCAAGCCACTAAACCGTCCAGAGATTCAACACCAATCACAATAGCATTGAAAAATCGTCGAAGAACTGATGAATCCAAAGAACAGAGAAACTCCATATGACTCTGAGTGAGAACCTCAAGGAGAGCGAAATAAGCCTTGCTTAGTTTAATGAAACCTTTCAGTTCTGCATCAGTCACACAGAGCAGCATATCAGTACTCAACTTGACACACTTTTCGAAGGAGTTGTCTCCCACAAGACCGAAAACGGCAAAATTTGCATATTTTTCATTGAGAGTAATCCGCAAGGCGTCTAGATATCGTCTCAGTGGCTTAACTTTGCGCTCATATACATTATCCTCACTAATTTGGCCGAAGAATGCTATCAAACGAGGACCGTAATCGTTGAGAACTTTCGTCATTTCAGCAAGTAGGAGGTAGCCCATGGGGAGAGTGCTCTCGAATTTCAGTCTATCATTGCGGTTGTTGGCAATTTCAGCAAGAAGCTTGAGAATAGGACAGGTGACATGAGGATCATAGGGCCAGAATTCAAGTGCTCGACTGAATAGACTGAAAAGGGAAGGATAAAACCAATCGAGGAAGTGTTGGAATGCTGCCATTGTGTTGAGACTAAAGGCCACGCCTGCAAGGTCTCGTGCTAGACCAATCACATTGCTTCGTGCCTCCTCTGGAGAGATAGAGCAATTTTCTGGAAAAATAATTCAAAAAGCTGTTATCAATATTCAATGCTACTGTTAGAAATAAGTCATTCAACTAATTAGCACAAACCAGAGAGGAGGAGATTTGAGATGAGATTATTGGCAACGACAGTAAGGGGAGCTAGAAAATCAAGGAAAGGTCGGTTGTCATCGGATCCAATACCTGAGAGAGTGACCAACATAAGGCGCGCCAAGTAGGCGTAGAACTCCGATCGATAGCGCGTGAGAGAAGAACTGGATGTAGTGGAGAGGAAACGGAAATTCGTTGGCTGAAAGATCATAAAAGAGCAAATAGCATTGAATAATGTGCAGGAGTCTACCCCGTAATGGAACACGTGGAGATAGGGAGTAATAGCTGTGTTCCCTTTTATTATGAAAGAGCGTTGCTAGTCATACCCCGATATCTATGCCGTCATTTCGATAGGAAGTAGTTAAAACGGTAGAAACAAAAAGATGCCACATCATAGAAGCAGCCTCGCTAAGCCATTATCCTGCTGTGAGTTTAATCGCGAAGAAGATAGAAAAGAAAACACAATCCGTCTTTGCCACAGGTGGAACTGAAGCGTTTTCAAAGGATAATTGGGCTTTATATAACTTAAGGGGAGCAGATATGAGTTGTGTGTGATTGGCATCAGCAAGAAATTGAATGGGATATTGATCATCAAAGGACAAAGCGTCAAACTGTGCCATTATTATCAGAAATATCAAAGGGTTCATGCTAGGTCATGGAGAAAATAGCATTAAAGCACTTTCATCAAAATGGTCATTCATAAAGAAACTTCCTCATTTTTTATCCGATAATATTTTTGGCAATTTCAAATGTTTAAACGAGTCATTGCTATAATAGTTTTGTATTTAACACCTGATATTGACTACACATCTGTTTAAACAAGCTATTTATGTAAATGTTATGACACCATACAGTAGATATCTGTCAATAAAGACGTTCATTAACCATTCAAGGCAATCATTTGAAACATAGTTTTCACCAAAGTTGAAGGATAGTACCATCTACGAGCATTCAAAATGTTACACTTTGATACCACTGGGATTTTCCGCGAATCCGCCCAGGGCGGTTCAACGGGAAATTCTATTTCATGAAACTATTTTTAGAACCAAAAAACTGCCCATCTGAATAAGCGCCCATGGGCGATAATACAGAAGTAAAATATTTCATCATAGTAAAAGTTTGCTCTAAAATGCAAAGGGAATAATAAAATCCGGAACTACATGAGAGAAATTGTGTACTTTTCTTCCACTGATTAATTAGTGGAAATAGGAATAGTAAAAAGGCAATAATTATGAATTTTTACTATCGACGCATTTTTTTTGAAAAAGGTTTGCGTACCATAGTGTGTCATATTCATATTTTGATGTCGCCATAATTCAATCTGAGAGCAATTAGGACAGATTCACCTCGCTATGCCCCGAGTGCGCTTGTATAATCAATATTGATATACATTCAGAGAACAAAATAGCCACTTTATTTCAATAATAATTGACTTTTAAAAGACAAGTTATTCCTTTCATTTATTTATATCAAATGGCATGCGTTGTGAAAGTTATCATTAGCCCTTTAGTTGACTTCAGGCTTCACAGAGGAGGAGGAACATCAAAGTGAAACAAGTCGAGAGGGAGAAGGGGAACAGAAGAGAGTTTCAAAGATGTAAACGAGACAGACACAAAAGTAGAGAAAAAGGTAAGGTGAGTACTGTGGAAGGGGTCTAATATGACAACCAAGGGGGTCGTGGTAGTTTGAAGTCAGAAGTCAACTACCGGTTAATAGACTTTTTTGCCGTATGAGTATACGTTGCCCAGGGTGCACCACGTGGAGGTAAGTCTATCGCACACCCCTTATTCCTTTCATAGATCTCAATTCTACTTCTTCATCTCGAATTGTCACCATTGTTAGACACAACACATAATGTGGAAGATCTGCAGCGGTAGGGCGATATCTAAGATCACTAGAATATACTGACCGTGTGCCTTGGCGAGTCATACGAACAACTTGCTCTTTCCAACAAGAAACAGCATTAAGATTAATGATTGAGTGACAGGCGTCGAATGCACAAGGGGCACGTGCCTAGCCTAAGAAATATGGAGAGATTTCCCCTCACCTCCCCTCCCCCCCCCCCCCCCCCCCCCCCCCCCCCCACCCCACCCCACCGACCCCTTACCATTAATTAACAACGCCAATCAATTAATTAAATGAGTACTAGTTTGAGTACACATATGCACAAATTCACTTAACTAATGAATGTGAACTATTTGTCTCTTGGGAGCTTTCCCAACTCTCATTCAATTACGACATGCCATTTCCATCGCCACATTACTGCATTTGTGATTGCTGAATAACATTAAAGGAATAACTTAATTTAAAGCTAGCCTACTTCACTTCAAAACACATGCAGAGTTAAATAGGCGATTAAAAAGAAACACTATACATTAGTGTACCTGGCAAAATAGTACAGGAAGCAGATTCCACTAAAGAAGAAATATTGACGTCATGGTTTCATTCATTAGGTGTATACACTAAAACCGAATACTAATAGGGACACAAATTGAGCAAAAAGCCAAGGCAATATTCGCATCAAAACTGAAACCATTGGGAAGAGGGATAAGTAGAGTAGAGCTTACCAAAAAATTATTAGAACTGCCGCCATCGATCCACAGGATCAAGGATTAAAGGGACGTAGAGATAAACCTTTTATTTAAAACTTAGGCGTTCTGTGTTCGAATGAAGCTTAATTAGAAAAAAAATGAAAGAGATAATCACTGTAGACACCGATTCTTCGAAGACGAAATTTGCATTTGTGTATATTAGCTGCCAAAAGTATTACAAACAAGTTGTAATTTGTTTGACATTAGACAAATGCGAACTCCAAATGCATCACTTAGTCATTTAACGAATAAATAGTTGACACAAATCCCTCATACAAGTTCATTAATACGTTCAGTAGATTCTGGATTTGCGTTTTCAAGAATAGATAGCTTAGAATTGAACTACAAAGCAATCTTGACTAGTGTACAGCGTTGGTTAGTTACTTCCTATTTAGACCCACCCACATCGCTACTTACTGCATAATTATATTAATTTGATTAAAAGCGATAGCAAGCCAACAGTGAATAGGTGTGAAATCAACGTAAGTAAGATGAACCACTCTTTAAGAAGTGTAAAAAGAGCCAAACTCACAGTGTGGTTAGCCAGCATGAATTTGACATCATCCAAAGTGAGGAGCTTCTTCATAGCCGTGAAAGAAGAGGCCAATTCGCCAAATAACTTCAAAGTGGGCTCCAAAACAACCTCATGGTCACTCCAATACCGCAGATTGAGGAGAACTTTACTTACAAAGACCTTCAAGATGGTAGTTTCATCGGAGATTCCCACCAAATCAGAAAGAGACTGGTACATCTGAAACGTGGAAACGGAAATTAACGCATCTGAAGTTTACAGAAGATTGGTACAGATGAGCATAACATCACCCTTGAATTTGTTACCTTAGGTACTGTGGCTAGGGCACTATGGGAAACACATTTTCATTTACTTTAGATAGGAAGACAAAAAATGAAGTTCAAAGCTATGGTTGATGAGCAATTCTCGTTGGTCTTTCCTAAGTCGTGCATCATCTAAGGTATTAAAGAGTACACCCCACTACTGACAATCATCCAGGGTAAAAAATGTATTTCAGTCCAGCGGTATTTTCATCTCCAGACGATAGCCTTTGTTTATTTAAAAAAAGGTTGAAGAGAAGACGAAACTCTGTCTCCTCCTTCTTTCAGTAATGAAAGCAGATGAACTTGAAGTTATAGGTACTGAAATGGTGCAGTCTTACATTTAAACATGTATGCCAAAACTGTCTGTACGTAGCGACAACCGAATGTCGCCATAGATGCTTGCAAAAGCCCCCAAAGCTACCAGTACCACGAGATGCATTACAACGTATCAGATACTGACAAGAATTAACGTGCCTCAAAACGATGACGTATCACAATCAGAACTGAAGGATAAGGCCAAAGTGACCGCTATTTACTATGAAAACTAGTGACCATGTAATAAGTGAATCAAAATCCCGAATATTTCAAAATTCGTTGAACACAGGAAAACCAAATAAACATTTCTGTCAAGGAATTATAAAAGGGTGATGAGCATTGAGCACATAGTGTGTCTCAATTTTAGGTCTTCCAATTTACTTCATTTAAACATTATAATGGAATTATTTTTAGGGCACTAAAAATAGCTTTAACATTGATCAATAATCCATTAGATGTTAACGTACTCTAGAGGCTCGACTGATATTATCTCCAATGTATATCTTTCTGAACTTCTCTAAGAAAGTAATGATGGCCAACTCCAAACGGATAATCGCACCAGATGAGATGTGAATGAGCACAGAAGCCACATTCGGATTGCTTAATTGGGCATCCTGTTGCAATAGTTGGAGGATGAGATTCAAGCAGACATCTCCAAATTGCAGTAGACGCATAACACTAGCGATAAGTCCACCATCTAGTTGATCCGAATCAACCAAACTGCCTGAACTCGATGTTGAACGATTGTTCAACAGCGCTCCTAAAAGATACGAAGTCGTGCTTTAGAATAACAATGTATTGTTCATGGTATATATAAATAGATGACACAAAATTGTACCAATCATATAGACTAGCCAAGTGAGGCGATTCTCTTCCAAACGAATAGAATGGAGTTGTTCGGGAGAAAATGGGGGATTAGGACTCAGGAAGGCAGCTGGGCCCAGGGAAACCATCTGCTGAAGGGTGGACTGAAGTTGATTAAAGGACTGGTCGAAGAGGCTGATTATTAACTCGCAGGTACTCGAATAGTCACAGCGACCAATGATTGAAAACTGGGAAAATGGATTACAAATTAGTACAGCGAATTGAAAAATACCAATTTTGGAATCATTTTAAAAATTAAGTCACGTCCGCTGTAAGTAGCTGATTTCGTAAGAAAATATTTAAAGATGACGGTTATAAAAATTGCTTCCAATGTTTTCTTCCCACAATTCAAAGATGTTTCAGAATACAGGAAATGGGCAGAGAAAATGAAGGACAAGTGAAAGGCTAAGACTTTCCACGTTGACTAGGAGATGAGTTAATACAATGAAAAAATGTAGTGTCAAAATGATGTGAAGATAATGGGAAAAACCTAAAATGCAGTAAATAAACAAGGTTGTAGGACACAATATAATTGAGCTATACAGGGGTCATAAATATGGAGATAGGTATCAATTGAAATGCGCATTCCCTAAAACACAACTCTCTGCTTTAAGCTCAAGTAAATAGCAAGATTTAAAATAGGCATACAGATTAAAAATAACAAGCCAATCGTTTTAGAATACTATAAATCAATCGATATAACTCACAAGAGATAGCAAAAAACTCATTTTGGGCATTTTGAGCACAATGGAGTTGTGTTGATACTCACTGCAAGATTTTTTTTTCTATTAGGCGTAGAAAAGATCAAAACGTGCATACAACAAGCATACAGGGAAGAAATGAGCTATGCAGTCATTCAACAAATTTTATTTGCATCATCGGACGTGAACCTTCGTAGAAATATTACAAACTCAAGGCTTGCCAACGCAATGGAGGTCAGAAGTTAGCTCGATTTCAACCGTCAGAATGAAGTTATAGAATTATAAGATGGAAAAGAATGCCATGATGAGGGGAAAAAGTGAACAGAAAAACCCGTCGAACTTGTCTTAAATAATAATCGATTCTGAAAGCCACCCCTCTTATAATCTGATTTGTACCACCAATACGACATTTATAAAACAAATTAACTTACTATTATTAATAAATACAAATTTCATGTCTTGAAAAGTTTAGAGCAGACAGAATGCAATCAACCAAGGGTCTTAATGGCAATGACAATGACTAATATCGCAACACTAAATCAAAATAAAACCTAGTTTTCGGGACTAAAACAATTGAGTTTCGATTTTAACCTCGTTAAGCTACGTGCGCCATTGTCTATTGAGCACTCTTCACAATAACTATTCTATCAAATGAACTTCATAATTACAGAACATGATCACAGACTCGATTCAATCTAATTGCCTCTTAATTAGAGACATGCGCATGAGCTATCCCCCCCCTACGGATTACTTCATTAGCACCAATCGAGGGCATTTAAATAGAGCAGAAATTTTATCGGCTCTAATTTATCCTCGTCAGTTAAATTGTCAAAAAAAAGGTTTAACAAAACGTGAGCCCACCTGGTCGAGCTGCTGAGAGAGAGTCATATTATCATCCAGAGGACATGTCTCATCCGATTCTGGGTCATCAACTGAAGCACACCTACCCACAGGTGCTTTTTCTACCGCAGACGACAGCTTGGTAATTCGGAGGGGTTTGGGTTTTGAGACGGTTTCTGCATAGCGTGGCACACCGGCCAATCGCGATTCGATGTAGGCACGAGTTACCTGTGGAGCATAGGTGTCAATGAGGTAGGGCTGGGAGGTTCGTGTATAGGGAATACTTGCTACAAGACGTTGCCATAGCATCAGGAGATAGTAGAGGCTGTTTGAATGATTGAAATCAGAGTCATCTGTGAAATTCTGAAAGAAAAAGGAGTAATTGAGAAAAACACGACCGAGTAGCTGTAGAGCGTTCATTCTTATTGATGTTTTAGCGTCAAATTTCCTCCCTTCTCAACTCTTGGTCTCCTGCTTTAGAAGAGGCGGCTGCTTCTTTAGACTTCTTAAGGCAATGTCGCCTAACTTGGTTTTGCAATTCCTCGAAAATGTTTAATGGATCGAACAGAAGGATTTTCATGCAGCTAAGAAAAACAAATTGGGCAATAAGTGAAGTAGGTCTTCGATTCAACTGTCTGGGTTATCTAAAAGATTTGT